AGCCTGGGACAGGAAACAACTTAAAAGGCGTCACGATTGAGACATCACGAATATTCGGCCAGCAAGACTTTGCCAAGTCCGGGAAAGGCAGCGGGTAAGTTTCTTTTTTTTTTTTCTTTCGAAATTTGTTATACTCGAATGATTGGTTGACGACCTGTTGTATCCAGAATTGTGCTTTATCGAGAAGCATGTCTGCGCATCTTGATAGTCCGCGCGTATCCAGAACAGTGCCTGAGGCAAATCTACTTTCTTGGATACGCGGAGACTATCCAGAACAGTGCCTGATCCTAACCCTAACCATAACTCTCCGTAATAACGAGCGATATTAGGAAGCTATGGAGGATGGCACCCAGGCTGAACCTAACACATGGATGAAGCACGGTTCTGAATACAGCACTAGCTTGACATGGTCAACAGCTACTCTCCAAGCAAGGTTTAGGCTTCGACTTATAAATGACTCCTTTTTTAGCGGGCTTTCTTTTTGTATCAGTCATTTTTTTTCAAGCCTTCGAGTAGCGTATTGGATACTGTCTTACCGATTTGATACTGTTTTGTAGACACTAAAAGATCTGCTTGGAGCTTAGTCCCGTATCTGCCAGTACTCTCAAAGCAGAGGTTGATGGTGGAAGATCGCTTGCTTTTTATATATGGCCCTTTTTTATTTTATCTATATATATTCCAACATGTAATCACCAGACGTGGTGACGACACACTCAAGTTTTTTCAACTTATATTATAATAATGCCGTCACCAACACAGGGGACACATACATGACAGGACAATACTCATTTACACCTGAGCTAAGTGAGGAAAGCCGTGTAAAGTGCCTTTTCCAAGGGCACAAGATCGGTGGTATGTCAGGACTCGAACCCGCGACTCTTAGGTCTGATTTGCGCACTCTGCCGCTACGCCACACGACCCTTTTTTGTCGCTACCACCACCAAATGGTTACAGACTGGCCAATTTGATACTGTCTTACCCCCACCAAAAGATCTGCTTCGAGATTATCTGCCAGAAACGATTGATGATCCCTCAGGCAGGTCCACAGTAATAGCTGTGCCATGATTGTCACGGTTCGCCGACGTTCTAAAGCGCAGGTGTTTGATAAGGTGTATAATTGTAACGGGCGGTGTTCGTACGTCATTGATCAGTCCGGCTCAGTACCCTGATTGTGTCCGTGTGTATTTACGCTTGGACGGTAAGGTAAGGGCCGCTGTCAGTCAGAACAAAAAGACACTTCATATATCCTCCAACAGTCCAAGCAAGCAGATCTTTTGGTGCAAGACAGTAACCTCTACCAGGCTCTGCACCCTGATTGTGTCCGTGTGTATTTACGCTTGGACGGTAAGGTAAGGGCCGCTGTCAGTCAGAATAAAAAGACCCTCCATATATCAGTGTACGTTGGAAAATTCATATTTGAATCACTACAAAAGCGACACGTACCATATTGTAAATAGCTGATATATCCCCTGAATTACAGAATGTAATAATAACCTTCCTAAGAAAACACAATAGTTAGATTTAGTATCAATATGGACTAGCTCGTTAGAATTATATCTTAGTATTAGTTTGTGTATGTACCATTGTTGTTTCTTTGCCATACATTGTACCAGCTACAGTTGTTGAGCAATAAAGTTGATTTGATTTGATATATCCTCCAACGAAGCAGATCTTTTGGTTTCTGCAAGACACTATCCTCTACCTGTCTACCAGGCTTCGGGAAGCGGTTGGAAAGAGTAGAAATCGGCCAAATAGAGAGAGATAACATGCCGTGGGGGCGGCAAAATGTACGTACTCTCTAGCGGACCAACTCCCCTGGCATGATATCTCTCTGTTTGACCGATTTCTACTCTTTCCAGCCGCTTCTTAAGCCTGGTAGATGCTAGAACACGCTATGTAACTTAGCGATGTGGACATGACCCCCAAGAACATATCGGGATAAGAAAAGAAGGGAGGGAGACAGACTTGAGAGAGAAAGAATTAGAAAGAAAGCCAGAAAAAAAACAAGGAGGGAAAGGGAAGTGGCTGAAGGAAAGAAGAAAGAAGGAGTATCGTTATTATCTTGACAATATGTAGGTAAGGTCAAATCGTTGTTTATTCCACTACAGAAAACCAAACAGTTATCATAAAATATGCGATGTTTATGAAGTCAGCAATCGCAACACTAAATGTGACATAGGCCCACTCTAGACGAAGCATTTCGCGACAGAACAAAGGACAGGCAGGATCGGTCAGGAAAAAAAGAACAACAAAACGCTTCTGTGCGAAAAAAAACGGGCAATTTTAGCCCCCGGGGTCATCGTTCCACAGAGCGATCGCAACACACGATCCCGCCAATTGTCCTGTTGCCATGGCGACGTTTACGCCTGTCTTGTCCTGAAGAGACGGTGTCGTCCGACGGGACAAAAGGGCGGGAAAACCGATCCGCCCGCGGACGGCTTTTTACGGGCAAGAAGCGAAGACAGATACCGGTAAAAGAAAAAGGGCCTGTGTAAAAAAGAACTGCTAAGTAATGCACTAAGACCTGAACAAAGGTCTGTGTCTCTGTGCATACAGGACAGGGACACTAGACCAGCCTCCGCCAGGCTTTCCTAACTGGGTATGGAAAATAGAATATATCCGTGAATAGTTTCATTAGGTTGGTAAGACACAGAGTTAAGAGACTCCGCCTGTCACCTTCCTAAGGGTAATTCTGACTGGTTCACATTGCATTGCAGCACAGGTGTCGCTGCTACAGATGCATTCCCGAATGTACAATACCACGGTGACAATACTGAGGAAGGTGACAGACGGTCACCGAAACGTCGTCTGAATAAAAGACTTGGTTGTGTAAAAAGAGTCTCTTTACTCAAAGTAGAATATAATTTGGCAAGAAAAGTAGCCTTCACCTGCAGGCCTTCTTAAGGATTATGGATTGCAGAATTCTGAAAAAAATAGGGTGAGTAGTCGGAAACTATATCTTCCCTCCCTACATCTATTTTGTTATCTCCAAGCAGACCATCTGGTGGCTAAAAGACATTAAAAATTGACAAGACAGTATCAAATTGGCAAGCCACTGGCAGGGCAGGATACAATACGCCACCTGAAATTTGACTGGCGTTGTTGTTGTTGTTGTTGTTGTCGTCCTTGTTTATCGTCTATTTTTCCGCTAGACGTGGTCCCATGGTGAAAAAAAGATATCAGTACTGAAAAGCCTAAACCTTTGCTCGGAGAGTACTATGTTGAAATTGGCTACTTTATTCATTTATTGAAAAATGTAACAAGACATTGCACTGACTCTCAAGGCAGCAAAGCTGATATTAGAGAGTCAACATATAAAGACAAAACACATAGGGCACATATTTTCAACTACAGTGTAAAATACAAGAACAATCATAAAGACCTAACTTATATCATTCTAACTACTTTGATCCAAAGTGGGTGGTTTGTTGTACAATAGGTACTTAAATAGCAAGGACGACGTTGAATGCGTCAGAAGACGACATTTATTTTCGTTCAAGCGTGCAGGTCATCAGAGGTCACAGTTGAACAGTGGTGTTCGCTCATGCGTGACAAACAGCGGCGCGTCTGTGTAAATAAGAACTACAGTATTTCGGTGAAGGTTAGAGATCCGGGTAACAAGATATGTATAGCCCCACCCTCAATAGGGAAGGGGGCTACGGGTAGATCTCTCAGGCACTTGAGTTTGGCGCTCCCAGCCCCAAGGACTGCATGACAACACTTAAGCTCCTATTCTGAAACAACAGGACTAATTTGCATCATCCTTGTCTTGACTTGTCTAACTTTTGCTTCCTTCTGGACCAAAAATTTGTCTTCATCATTCAGCATATCAATCAATAGTTCATGCTTTATATTTAATACAAACCTGCCTCTCTGACAAGTGCAGTGTCACTGACGAAAGGTGGTGGATCCATGCTATCTGAGTGAAACGTCTGACCGATTCCAAAATCATATCCAGTTGCTTGAGTAACTGCTTTTGGCGTAAAGCTACTATTCAAGAAAATCCGCGCATTCTACTGAACATAAAGCGCAAACCTGCGTGAAAGGAAACAAAAGGCGGGAAACCCGAGTCTCGGTTACGCGCGGTCATACAATGTAGTGTCATCGCCCCCTCGGTCATTCTAGGTAGTTTCTACCAGACTACGCTGGATATATATGGTAGCAGAACACAGTATTAATCTGTGACGCGGGTATAGAAAGTAGTGCAGCGAATATTCTTGAAGGCTGGGTAGAAAGCCTGATAAGAGCGTCAGCCAGATGTTAATTGTGCTGTGTGGTGTAGGAATGTATCGGGTTTAAGACTGTATGATTTGAATTGTGAAGGTTTTGCAGTTCGTGTATAAATGCGCCGTATTATGCAACTGGCTTTCCGGGTGAGTCGGCTGCAGTTTAGGTCACGTCCGTAGAGGGCGATTTCAAAGTGTACGTTACGAGCAGATACGCCGACAGGATTTTTTGGTCTCTAGATATTTTGTAGTTTGTACCTTCTTCTGAAACATATTCTATTTTCGTATTTGAGAAGTGCACCCTGCTATAATTTTTACCGCGTCGAAGTGAGTCATCTTGGGGTCCTTAACTATAGAAATCCCCATAGGGCGAAAACTGTGTTCTGCTACCATATAGGAGAATATTTGCCAGGGGAGTTTGGCCGCCTTGGGGTTTGACTTTGCCGAAACTACCTCCCTTGGCCAGACTCCCTTGGCCCATTTGATTCTCTTTTTTGCCGAATTCTACGATCCGTATTCCCGTAGAAAGGCCTGGTGGAGGCTACATTCTAGGAGTCCCGTTTCACTCTGTGCAGAACATAAGGGTTTCTGTAGTCCTTGGGCCACACAGTTGTGCAAGCAGTACAAAATCACTGAGAACAGGCGAAAATCAATGCGCGCGCGGATATCATCCATAAAATTAAGTCGGTGTGGCCTAATCATGATACATTTTCTCTACAAATGTCATCTTTATTGAACTTACCACGATTTTCCTTCAACCAGCTGATCCACACTATGGTGACGTCATCGCTGGTCACCCTCCTGGTCCTGTGCCTTCTCCTGGAGACCGGAAGTGCGTGGCCCACCACTTCCGGTTCCTGTCCGACCCGCTGCAACTGTCTGTCCGACAGGTCCATCAACTGCCGGAACAAGAAACTGACGTCATTTCCGACCAGCATGCCCGAGGTTATTATCATTATCATTATTATGTTTTATTGCAAATTAATGCCCGAGGGCTAATTGCAGGAAAAGAAGAAACAGTATAAAAACAGACAATTAATATACAGAGAAATACTAGCTACTAAGAAATTACTTGTAAAAACTACTGGGTTTGACTCCTTTTTATTATTATTTCATAATTACTATAATTATTGTAACATTATCGTATCCAGAACCGTGCCTATCTAGTTCTATGGCTGAATAGGTTAGGGTTACGATCAGGACGTGCCTATCTAGTTCTATGTCTTAATGACCCTTACTGGGTTATGGTTAGGATCAGGCACGGTTCTGGCCGATAGTCTCCGCGTATCCAAGAATTTAGATTTGCCCCAGGCACGGTTCTGGATAAACCATGGTTCTGGATGCAACAAACATACCCTGATTCCCGACCTTCAACATTCCAGAGTTTGACTGTCATAATTCAGTGTGCAACTCTTTGATATTCCCCTTATTGCCAAACCCCGTAAGCCATAAGAGAATAAGAAGCCAAACCGTAACTTTAACTTCAGTGTGCTAAAGGTTATCAACGTTCTACCATTCCTAGGATACCGTCGAGGCCGACTTTTTCGGCAATGTCATCCCGTCCTTGAGTTCGACCTCTCTGGCCAACATGGCGGCCCTCACGGAGATCAACCTCGGCAACAACTCCATAGCAACGTTCCCCGATGACGTGTTGTCTGACGTCACCAATCTGGAGTCGCTGGAGTTGGGCAACAACCGGGTTGGATCTCAACTGACAGTCGCAACATTCCAGGTATCTGTATCTGTATAGCCGGTATAACCGCCTTTAGGTGTAACACACCAGCTTCTGTATCTGTATAGCCGGTATAACCGCCCTTCGGCGTAACACACCAGCTTCTGTATCTGTATAGCCGGTATAACCGCCCTTCGGCGTAACACACCAGCTTCTGTATCTGTATAGCCGGTATAACCGCCCCTCAGCGTAACACACAAGCTTCTGTACAACTGTACTAGTACAACTACATACATGTAGCAATGTCATATAAGATATCATTTGCATCTTAGCTGGGTTATAAAGTATGGCAACGGCCGGCTTAAGAGAAAAGCCTGACTTCGAGGACTGAGAAAATCTTCACATGGTCTAGTAGCCCAACAAACTAACGCTCAATTCTGAGTTAAATACATACATTCAGATACATGGTGACCAGCCCCTCCATGCCACTTGCTACATAATGTAACCCAACACCACAGGGTGTCTGCTGCAGCACCAGTTACCATGGTGGCAATCGTCTGGTCTAGATCATTGACCTTGTATTATTGGAGAAGAAAAACGAGAAATTTAATTTTTTCTTCCACCCTCCATTCCCTAGGGCCTGACCAAGATGACCTACCTGTCTCTCCACAACAACTCCATTACGTCACTTCCGGACAAGGTGTTCCTTGACCTCGGTGCCCTGGAAGTACTTCAACTGTACCGGAACAGCATCAGTTCGCCCACCGAAGATACATTCCTGGTAGGACAGTTGAACTTTTTGATAATATCTTGTTCTTTGACATCCTCTCTTTGTCGCTTTTTTTCTATCAAGACATGATATCCGCTTACGTAGGTCAATTTCTGTGCACTTTATTTCATAAGCGAGACCATATCATCAATGCATGAACATATTGTAACTAATATACTGTATAGATAGTAGTTTGTAGTAAGAAATGTAATATGATAGTTTAGTTTTGTAGTATTGTTGTATTACTGCCACACATTGTACCATGTACGATTGTCGAGCAATAAAGTTCATTCATTCATTCATTCATTCATTCATTTTTCAACCTTCTCCAGGGCCTGTCTTCCTTGAAGGAGTTACACATGCGGTATAATCAGGTGGGAGGTCTGGCGGACAACCTGTTCCTAGACCTGGGCAGTCTGGAGTACCTGGACCTGAGAAACAACGGCATCACAGACATCAAGGTACGTGTGGCTAGCCTCTACCAGGCTTCGGGAGGCGACTGGAAAGAGTAGAAATCGGCCATTCGGGTGCGGAAAATGTTCTCTTCCAGCAGACCAACTCCCCTGGCATGTTATCTCTCTATTTGGCCGATTTGTGTGGCTGGAAGGGGATGGCTGTCTCTCCTTTCAGGATGGGGACGTAAAGACAGCAGCAACGATTAAGGGGGATGTTAATTCTCCAGAATCGTATTTCATCCATAACCATGCTTAGGCAGGGTTCTGGAAAGAAAACGCATTGCTAGTATCGTACAATCTATGTTCTTGGATTCGCGGAGGCTATCCAGAATTGTCTAATAAAATATAGTTACATAGGATAGGGGTAGGATCAGGCACTGTTAGTGCCTGGATAGTCTCCACGAACCCAAGAGCGTAGATTTGCGCCATGCACGGTTCTGGATAGGCCTAGTTGGCTATCCAGGACTGTGCCTGAGCATGGTTCTTGATAAAGTACGGTTCGGGATACGGGTGAATTGTCCATAACCGTGCCTGAGCATGGTTCTGCATAAAGCACGATTCTGGGTATAGAACGTACGGTTCTGGATACCCGTAGGGTTCAGGTCCAATGGCTGAGCATGGTTCTGGATAAAGCACAGTTTTGGATACGCGTGGACTATCCAGGACCATATCTGAGCAAAGTCTTGATAAAGTGCAGTTCTGGGTACATCACAACTAACCGCGCTTGGCTCGGTGTGTTTCAGTGCGGGACGTTTTTCGGGCCCTACGGTCTGAAGGAGCTGAACCTGGGGTACAACAACATCAAGGAGCTGGAGCCGGACGTCTTCCGCTATCCCTGTGACTGGTCAGTAGTACCATGGCTGTTATAGACATCGCAATGTCTGGGGAAAAGTTGAAAGAGCTCTACGATTAGGCTTTTCATGGGAGCCTTTATGGTGTGCTTTTTAATTGCTTTGTGATATAGATTCTTTATTGACACAACAAAAAAGTAGAGACTTTTGTATGATATATGACTATTTGTACTGGAATCCCTTCTTCGGCCCAGGGTAGTACATCAAGATCAACTTTACAAAGGGCAAAAGCAGACTGAAACTGTGATTAGGTATGTCGTAATTGTAAGTCTACGACTCTGAATGGTTGGGGTGTGCCTGTGTGGGTTGATGTAGAAATACGCAAGAAAGACGATCAACCTAGCAAACGTCGATTGAAAAAATGAGGGATACAATTATTATCTTTTCCACAGGGTCTCCACAACCCCAGGACCGACGACGTCACTCCCGACGACTGGTTCCCAGGCAACCACAGCTCATCCTGCCACGTCACCGACAACACAGGCACAGGTTCCTGTTACAACAACAATCCCTACAACCACTACACCGCGTACATCTAAGGTGACAACCACCTCAGCCGCTACAGCCACCAGTACACCCAACGTAACAAGCACAACTGCAGGAACGGACAACAGCACGTCTAACGCTACAACGACTACAGCCGGTACATCCAATGTGACATCAACTACAGCGGACAACTCTACGGCCAAGGCAACAACCACACTAGCCAGCGTTACAACAACTACACCGGCGTCCACCGTGATCACAACGGTGACAACCACACCCCAGCCCCAGCAATACACCATGACCAACCTGGAAAAGCTTTACATCAACAACAATGGGTGGGTACTGCTTCTGTACTCTCCAAGCAGAGGTTTGGGTTTTGGGGGTATTTTTAGCGTGTTTTTAGGCTTTTTTTATCGGGGTTTCTCTTTTGCACTGAATTTTTTCCCCACCAAACCCAACCTCTGCCGGCACCCACCCCGGGGCGGGGCAAACCTATTCAAGAAACGTGACAGTGCTCCTCCCCGGGAACCATCAAATTATCATTAGGGATATCCATTTTACTGTGGTGGATTATCACACATCCAGCCAGTCAGGAAGGCATTCATTGGGCCACATGCCTCCTGCTGACTGTGTCTATTCATGTGTCCGGTTCACACCTCCTTGCAGAACGACCCCAAAACCCAAAAATACCCCCAAACCCAAACCTCTGCTTGGAGAGTACTGCTTCTGTACCTTTTGGCTTGCTTTGTCTTTTGTGCTTTTTTATGTGAAAGTTTTACATACACGTAGTACTCCGAGCAATGTAGTCCTTAAACGCCATATAAAGTGTCTCTTTTTGGGTCTTCCAGTATCTCGGAGCTGAACCCCCAGTCGTTTAGAGGACTGGACAATCTGAACTATCTCCACATGGCGTCAAACCCCCTATCCACCCTCCACAGTGACGTCTTCCAGTACCTCACCAACCTGAAAACTTTGTACATCAACAACCTGGGGTTGGTCAACTTTACTGCAGGTAGGGCAACACTTTTGCATAATGTTATATCTAATATTTGCAGCAAACCCAGGACCCTTCAACCTACGTAGGTACGCACTTGTACCAACTTACAAAGATCCCGAATGTAGTATATATTGCACAATAATATTCTTACAAGGTACAAAGTATGGCATCTATTGCTATATAACAAGTTCAACAAACGTACTACTATGAGACTGATCTATCTTACAAAGACTATGTAGTATGGGATGAAAATATATGGCTGTTATTTTACAGTCAGTGGTCTGATTTCTAGCTTTTAGGCAAGATATGTACAGTGCAGTTGTCAATTTGTACTTAAATTTGCTGTTTGAATCCGCATTGATAGAACTCCTGTTATTGAATGGGATAGACTTGTATATGGTGAATTTTTATATTTGGGACATACGATCAGAAAGTGATGTTCGTCTCCTTGTGTCGCACAGACACTTTTAACGGCCTGGGGTCAGTGACGCAGCTGTACATGCACGGGAACAAGATCACCCACCTGGAAGGCGGAAACTTCGTCAGGCTCGTCTCACTGCAAAGGCTCTGGCTCTACTCGTAAGTCGATCGTGCTTAATTTCACTTTATACTTGTATGTACTAGGTTCTGCATACGCTACCACCTCTGTATAACGATAAGGACCACCTTTGCTTTATTAGGATCTCCATTCTCCATTAGTGGGGGCCCACATGCCTTTTTTCCTTGGAGTGTAATCGGCTGTTTTAATTCCACGTAGAGTGTAGACGGCCCGCTCTAATTCAACGTAGAGCGTAATTGGTGTATTTTGCGAAGAGCGTATTCTCCGTTTTAATTCTACGTAAAGCGTAATTCTACGTACGTTGTAGCCACTTGGAATTTATCGTAAAGCGTAATCGAGTGCCCACAATTTAGCGTAGAGCATTGTTGGGACCCCCCCCCCCCATGCAGGCCCCCATTGTGACAGTGTGACATAACACACTATTCTTCCCTGAGTCCTGGTGATGAGCCTACTGGCCAATGTGGTCACTTTTTGGTGGTCCCTTAAATAAATCCTCCCATTGACAAAGACATTGATAATTCTTCATATTTTGTGGCCACCTGTCCCCAGATATAGGAAGCATTCCTTGATCTCGTAAGACCACAATATAGGTGCAACTTCTACACCATGTACTTATTCTGAGTTCTATATTGAGTTCTGATGCAAGTAACCAGGCCAGAGTTTATCTTTCCCCTTCGCAGTATTCTAGGACATGTTTGACTGAGTGTACATTTACCTTAGAGGAGCTCTGTGTACAACTGTTCATCCAGGAACGGGATGGAGAGTCTTGATCCTGACGCGTTTATCGGGCTGACCAGGCTGCAGTACCTGTACCTCTCCAGCAACCTGCTCACGGCCCTGCCTGACTACAGCTTCCAGGATCTAGGTAAGCATCGCTAGGAAAAATATGATAAATGATGAATGTTAAGTTTGAAACGTATTCGTTCAAATGGAAAACATGCTGGAAGCTGTCTATTTGAAATTCCTAGGCGTGCGAGTTCAAAATGTCGTTAGAAAGTACATTTCTAGCTTTATATAATGCTAGCAGTACTGTGGTTACAACATGTAGACTTAACCTTCAAGCGCTGTATTGGATTCCATGTTTCCAAATTCAAGACGAATAGAGTGACGTATCACAGTTGCCTAGTGTTGGCAGTCTCTGTTACTTTGTCAGTAAGCTACGGATAACCTCAGCACTTGACCACAGATTATAAGGGGCAGTGCAGTATCCATTGGCCAAAGAGTGACCATTAGTCTAGACTTCTCTGTGTAATTGCCTTTGTTGTTCCTGAAAGCTAACCTGAGAGGTCTGAGCTTGGAGAAGAACCGCCTGACCGTTAACCGAACTTGCCGGTGTAGCGTTGGTGGTCTCTGTTACTCAAGTCCTCAATCGACAGATTGCCTCTGCCAACACTACACTACAGATTGCTCTATTTGTATAATATATTTCGTGAGCTATTCTTCACTGTATCATTGTTATTCTCAAGCCAAACGGGAGGTCTGAGCTTGGAGAAACACAACAGCCAGCCGTTAACCAGTTGTCGGTGTGGCATTGGTGGTCTCCGTCACTTAGTCCTCAAGCGACAGACTGTCTCTGTCAACACTACACTTAGTCTACTATTGCTATACGTCTATAATATGTATATCTTACGGGATATACTTCACTGTATACGTACCCTTGTTCTTCTCCAGGTAACCTGAGATATCTGAGCCTGGAGAACAATCGTCTGACGGAGTACGGGATAAGTAACCAGACGTGGAACGGTCTGGACAAGCTGGACCAGCTCAACCTGAAGAACAACCGCTTCGTGTGCCTGAACGACTCCATGTTCTGCTGCGGCATGCCGGTACTCAGGATTCTCTATCTGCAGAACAACCGCATCAGCTGTCTAGAAGAGGACGCCTTCGATGGTAAACACAACTTTTGTTTTGTGAGGTGACACCACAAACAATGATGCCTGTGATGATGATGATAATGAGCATGATAGGTTAGGCAATAGTAACGTCAAATGGGAATCTGCTAAAGGAACACCAGCCAGAACCTGCTCTGGTGCGTTTTTCGGTAAGATATACTAATTCTGTAACGTAATTCAAAAGACTTTTATTGTATACAGAATGATACCTATCTAATGCCCAAGGGTTAGTAGGATTAGGCACGGTTATGGATGGACTACGCGTATCCAAGAACGTCAATTTGCCCCAGGCCCGGTTCTTGATACACTTGGACTATATGGACCAGTGCCTGTACATAATTCTGAATAAAACACAGTTCTGGATACAGCAGGTATCTTGTGAATGCTTTTTAATTGTGCAACCTGTACTGGAAACTTCAGGTATCCCCAAACTGCGGCAGCTGTGGTTGGACAACAACGACATCGACCAACTGCAGCCAGGACAGTTTGAGGATCTGGAGATCCTGCGGCAGCTCGGGTTAAGGAACAACGACATCACAGAACTGGTGAACAACACCTTCCAGGTGGGTTCAGTGTCTTACTTTTAACAAATCCGCTCCTGCTCGCATCTGCAGGTAATCTCCAAGCAGATCTTTCGGTGGCAAGACAGTATCCATTGGCCAGAGGAGTGTCCATTAGCCACCGAAGGATACAGGACGGCCAATGGATACTGTCTTTTGCCACCCAACCAAAAGATCTGCTTGGAGATTAATCTGCAGGTGCTGATGCGAAACAGTTGTGCATTATGTTCTTCTATACTGTCTCTTATATAGCCAACAATAAGACTGTCCCCACTCAGCAATCTTCAACACTTAGTAGGCCGCATTCTCCATTTGCAAAATCTGTCTGAACAAGCATGTACGGGCTAACATCTCATGAGTCCAGAAACCAACAGAAATATCTTCACCTTCTGCTCAGTAGAAGGAGTTATCCTCAAGCAGATATTTTAGTGGTTGCAAAAGACAGTATCAAATTGGCCAGTCAGTAACCATTAGCCAGACAGTATCCATTGGTCAATGGGCACTCGGTGGCTAACGGACACTCCTCTGGCCAATAGATACTGCCTTGCCACCGTATGATCTACTTGGAGATTAGGCCAGTAGTAATCTTCAAGCAGATCTTTTAATGGCTGTAAGACAGTATTGAATTGGCCAGGCAGTATCCATTTGCCAGGCAGTATCCATTTGCCAGGCAGTATCCATTTGCCAACCATTTGGCTGGCAAAAAGGATACGGTACAAATATAAAGCCCCGTAAAAATACCTAACAATCCGAAGCCTATAACCTTTTGCTTGGAGAGTATAGGCCAGTAGACCAAGCTTCTGTGACCTCAAGAAGTCTGCCATCACCAAACTATCTGGCAGACAGCATTGAGCCAATATTTGTGTATGGTATAGAATAATTATAAATATAGCGTCCTTTCACAACACAATGTGCAGCAGCATGTTTGTGATAGTTCTTAAATGTCGTCTTCTGTATTTGATATTTTGTAATCAGAACCTCCTGGATTTGGACTATCTGTACCTGGAGAACAACGACATTGCCACCATCGACACAGGAGCATTCAACGAGCTGACTGACTTGGACCAGCTCAACCTACAGGTGTTTGTTTATCATGAAAGTTCATCTGTAGCTGTGTTGGTAGTAATCATAGTAAAACGTTAAACTTTATTCCAACACTCAAATTTTCAGCGACCACTGTCGCCTTCATCAGGATAATTAATGACCAAGGTGTTTGTTTGCACGTTTGTCTGTTTGTTTGCTTGGCAGTATATTCCCGATTTAAGTTATCATGCATTTTTTAAACTTCTCAAAATTCACAAAGTGCTTCAGGCCATCGCTAAAGGCGGGGTACGTACTTAATTTGAGGTTAATGCCCAGAAAAAAAATCAGTAGTAGATCCATGTTTCCAGCAAAGCGCGGGCAAGAAGAGTGGCATAACCAGTAAACCACCTTTAGGCGTAACGCACCAGTTTTGTACCGTACATAAGAACAACTTGTGTAAGACTGGACTGTAAGGTTTATTTATTTATCAAAATTTTCCACCAGATATGCAGACTGGGAGAGAGAACAGGTGAAGTACCTTTTCCAGCTGCCGCCCCAAATGTGCATCAGTAAAAAAACATTGAAGTCAACATTGCATTAGCGCAATACATTATACATAGTACACATAGTGATGCAATAGCGTGGAGTGGACCTGTTTAATCCTTGCTTAACACCTAGAGGGTTGTAAAATTCCATATCCTTGTGTCTTCCGTTTGCAGGGCAATGACCTGACGGTGTTGCCTAGCAACGTGTTCTCCCCGCTGAGCAGGCTGGTGAAGGTGGACATCAGCGACAACCTCATCCACACGATCGAGGACGGCGCCTTCGAGGTGAACACAACTCTTCTTAGCCTAGCCTCCATAGCATGAACAAAACGGGGATTTTGGGGGTCTTCATGAGCTTTTATGTGCTATTTTCTGATTGCATATAGACAACATGGCCGGCCTGGTTGAATTACCCCAGTTTTTTTTTTTAACTGGGCTAATCAGAAAACAGCTGAAGACCACCAAACCCCCAGTTCTATAAGCCTGCTACGGAGGCTATTCTTAGTCTATCTTACACAAATCTCTCACTGTCACGTCCTCTCCAAGAGCTTGTAGCCATACAACTCTAACATAGCCTCTGCTACACAATCTCTCACTGTCAGGGGCTGACTAAGCCTCCTCCCCAAACGCTTGTAGCCATAACTCAAGAGAGCCATTCCCCTTCCCAGAACTACCGTTAGGAGGTTAGGATTTATCACTGTGAAAGTCAGTCCGATAGGAGCTCTAACACCATAGAAACCAGCCATCACCGCCTCAAGCACTATCATGGTAACAGACAGTTCTCAGTCTGACAATAATAGGTCCATATCAGCACATACGCATAAATAGACTGGATTGAGATGTTCCCTATTCTCTTGAGTGACTTAGCGATGGTGACCATCAAGCTTCTAGAGGCCTGGCCAGTGGAAGTGATCATTACCCCTCATCCAAATAACTCCGAAAGTAGAACAATTGTTATGATATGTCGTTGGAGCTTTAATAGACATCCAGAGTTCCAGACAATGGGATACTCAAGAAAACTCAGGCAATTGGATAGATTTTGAAAACTGTCAGACATTTCAAGCAACGTATCCATTCATCAATGAATGTTGCTTGAGTAATCGTTTTCTTCAGTATCCCAATTACATGGACCAATTATTGTCTTTTTTCCTGCTCCTGAAGGGCCTGACCAGAGTGACCGAGATGTACCTGGACAACAACAACCTGTCCAGCGTGAACTTTGACGTCTTCTCGCCGATGACGCAGCTGAACAAAGTGCAGGTGACGGAGAACAACATCATGTGCGACTGCCACATCTTCTGGATGCTGGACTGGTTCAACGAGGAGGGGAACGAGTGAGTACCTCGACCACTTGAGAAAGAATATGGCAGTTGAACACACACCGCTACCAGTGGACTAGCCCCATGGTGTAGTATCTTGTGTGTATGGGAGTTGGGAGTTCAACACACACACTGCTATCAGTGGACTAGCCCCATGGTGCAGTGGACTAGCCCAATGGTGCAGTGGCTTGTATATGGGAGTTGAGAGTTAAATGATGCAGAAAGGACTCAATGTTGTATCCAGATCCAGGTTATGGATAAAGCACAGTTGTGGATAAAGCACGGTTCTGGATAAAGCACGGTTCTGGGTAGGTTTGGAGATAATGCACTTCTGGATAAGCATGGACTGATAAGCAGAACCGTTCCTGGGCACAGTTCTGGATAATGCACAGTTCTGGATACGCATGGACTATCCGGGATCATGTCTGAGCAACCAGGACTATCCAGAACTGGATTCTGGATAATGCAAGGTTCTGGATATGTATGGACTATCCAGAACCGTGTCTGAGAATGGTTCTGGATAAGGCAGAGTTCTGGATATGCATTGACTATCCAGAACCGGGTACTGGCTAACGCACAGTTCTTTATACACATGGACTATCCAGAACCATGTCTTCGCATGGCTCTGGATAACGCACGGTTTTGGAAAAATCTTGGGCCATCCAGGCACAGTTCTGGATAGGAGTGAACTATCCAGGACCGTGTCTGAGCAGGGTTCTGGATAAAGCACGATTTGGGATACACATGGGCTATCCAGAACCGTGTCTGAGCATAATTATACAGTTCTGGACAATCTTGGACTATCCAGGCATGGTTCTGGATATGCGTAGACCATCCAGAACTGTGCCTGAGCAGGGTTCTGGATGAGTCACACTTCTGGATACAGCAAGACTTAAGGGATTAACTCTTTACTTTTCGTCCCCAGCCTGGTGAACACAGACGCATTGGTGTGCGCAGGGCCAGAGGAGTTCCTCGGCCTTCCCATCATCCCCCTACTGAACAACACTCTGGGCGTGCAGATCCCAGAATGCCCCAGTCCGACCCCTAGCGACCGGAACGGGACTGCAGGCGACTGGTGGAGTCTCTATGGCAACGGGACGACTGGGAACGACGGAAACGGAGCTGGCAGCGGATCGGGAACAGGTCGGTTTGGAATTTGAAGTTCACGTTTGTTGTAGCTCCACCGTGATTTGAAAAAGAAAAACGTAACACGGTGTATTGAAGCCGCAACATTACACCTCGTTTTTCTTTATATATAAACAAAGCTGACTTGCAGCAATGTATAAGTACTTGAACACTGCTTTTGCACGAGTGCCATACCCTGTTATGCCCTGTCATGGGTTTCAGTTCAGTCATTATTTTGCAAATGGCATCAAAACATCATCATTCTTGATTTACAATAAACAACTACAGGGGTGCTTGAAAATGGTCCAAACTCCACTTTACTGCATTCCATTCATGGAAATACAGGAGCAAAGTAAACAGGAAATTGCTTATTTTGTTGTTGTAATAAAACTGTGATTTTTTCAGGAGACGGAAGGTCATGTTTGTCATGACCACACCATAATTTAAAAAGAGACAAAGGGCCGGTGATTCGTCTTTTACCTTGAACCGCAACGATGCACTTTTATTTGTCTTTCTTAAAACAAAGGCAACTAGAAAGCTACAGCAATGCTTAGGTACATGAATAGGTAATACGTAAAAAAATGTCATATCCAGTTATGCCCTTGCTTGTACATGGTTCACATAGTTTTTCAAATGAGATCAAAGCACAAACCGACAACAGCAGTTTGTGCTTTGAAATGGTCCAGGCTTCATTGCACTACATAGAGGAACAAATTGGATGGCACCCAGGCTACAACAGATTGGACTATAGCTAGTAATTGATTATTATTATATTTTCTAAAACTGACTTTTTCAGGAGACGGCAGTTCTGGATCCGGATCCGGGTATGGCGCGGGTTCCGGGTGCATGTGTGTGACCCTGACTGACCTTCTGCTGTGGCCGCTCCTGGCCTCCGTTCTCACCACCCTGCTCATCTGTGGCGGCACACTCGCCTACGTCTGCTACAAGATGTAAGCAGATCTTTTTTTATGACGATTTACCACGTTTGTGGAAGGATTGACATAACAGGTGACTATCACCTCTTCAAAGATGTCAACCCCGAGAGCAGACTGTAAGGTTTGAACCACTCACACCGGGAAGGTCCCCTACTCTTTTCGATAAGTGTGGTGGGTTCATTAACGTGCGTGGGGTGTGGCTCTCCCAAACACGGGACCTACATTTAACGTCCTATCCGAGGGACGTCCTTAGCTGAAGCTAGGTACTCAATTACACCTGAGTGAAGTGAGGAAAGTCGTGTTAAGTGCCTTTCCCAAGGGTACAATGTCGCGGGGCATGTTCGGACTTGTTCGGGTACGACCCGGAATCGAACCCGGGTCTCCCCGTTTCAATCATAGTCCAGATCTATTAACAACTAGAGTTCCACGATCTCATAACTTCGCCAAATGAAGATGATTCAATGATATGTTAAGTTTCGATGACCACTATGTTGCTTTAGACTTTGATTTTAAAATTTTGCGCCTGTCCTCTGTCCTCACCACCCTGCTCATCAGTGGCGCCACACTCGCATACGTCTGCTACAAGATGTAAGCAGATCTATTAACACTTAGCGATAAGACTTAAGAGTAGGGGTCCATCACATTGTGAGTGGATCAAATCTTTAAGTTAACCCTTGTCCTGCGAGACCCATTTATACATGTATATGGGTTGCACATAGAGTAGTGCACATACAGTACCCTCTATAAAGCACCCTGTACATGCATGATTTGGGGTTGTTTCTCGTGTAAAGCATCACCTCAGCAAAACACAATGAACGCGGAAGTTACTACGCCACTGCAGGGCAAAAAAAGTCAAGGGTCTATGACCTGGTTAAGACATCAAAATTTAATTATTTGAAAATATTGTGTAAAAATGCTACCAGGACTTAACAGTCCGGTCTTAGTACGTACCATTCGGACTTCCAAAGGCATCTTTAATAAAATTGTCTCTGTTTTTACCCAGGAGGCACCCGGGAGCGCCAGGCTGCTGCCGCCGTTCCTCCGACGATGTGGACGACTTCGAATCAGAGGACGAAGAAGAGGAAATCCCTCCCAAACGCAACCGTCCCGAGCAACCCAAAATATCGGCTAAGGACGAGGTGGACGACTGGAGCAAGCCGCGTGGGAAGGGCCAGGCGCCGAGCTACCCAGGGAGTCGTCGCTGGTCGTCCGTGTTCGGGGAGAGGCCGCTCTTCACGCGGCGGTCCAACTTCCCGCCCCGCACGCCGCCTCCTGCATACCAGGATAGTGTCACGCGCGTCGTTCCTGACTTCTAACATGAACTATATGGGGGCAAAACTGGCTAAGAAAATAGGAAACAGTCATGTCTTCAAGTACAACAACATGTACAAGAGAAGATAGACGCTATATACCATATTTAGAGGTTCATTGAGTGAAATTCTGCTGGCTCTTTTTGATAAGCGCTTTCTAGTAGTGTGCATGGCCATGCTCGCATGGCAGGTGATCATGAGCGACAACAGTTGGGATTCGCACTCCCAACTTCTTGGTCAAGAGGCAATATCGCTAACCACTAGACTTACACGTGTTCAAATTTTCACCACCTTATGCATAGTGAATGCTTTATTGCATTATTTTGTACAAATGTATTCTTTAAGTACCCAAACCAATGTCCCAAATGACAAAATTGCCCAAAATGAAGGGTTTTTGTTTGTCATTGTACAAAGGAATGTTTATTTCTCCGGTTACCGACTTCAAGAGCTTAGTTATTAGACCTTAGATCCTTTTGCAATCATAATGCGATCCTTATTGTACAAAGCCAACTTCAAATATCTACAGTTACATTAAGCTAAGTCTCATGCTAGCATACACTAGCTGAGAAACTTACAAGTAGTCATGTATATTAAGATAAAAAAAGCGTTTTCATGTTTCATATCATGCTGCTATGAATTTACATACGATGACTTTCTTATAACAATGGCTTATAGCCTGCAGTTTAACACCACAAATGTTTTTAAAAGTGTGCATCAAGCATTTACTTCATGGAAATGTATGCCTTGTGTTGATATGATATTGCTACAATATACAGCTGTTGCAGAATCACCATGTTGCATTTTGTATCTGATTATTTTTTCTATCATCTAAGAGACTCCTTGCAGCCTGACAACAGGCCTACATCACCTTGCAACAATCTTGTGCAAATATCTGTGAACTTGACCGCTTGAATGAAATTTTGTGCAGACCATGAATCTCATGCAAATGCAAAAAAAAATTTGTTAGTATAAAACTATTCTCTCTTGTCCACAGTTTTCTGATAAACATAAAAGTTGGAACATAAACATAAACAAACTTGGAAGGGACCAGAACTTCCTTTTTCCCCCCTAATAGGGGCTGAAATAAGAGTGTGTACACTCCACAGGTGGAAATCTTATTCAGTACCTGTACTCTAGATCCCTGAAAAGCATTCATAAAAAGTGGAACGTAATATTTAAGGATAAATACTATTAGTTAATAACAGCCAAGTTTCAGCACTAAGGACAAAGATAACTCACAAATGAATTCCTCACGACTCTCATAGAAAAATAACTGAAGATTTCTGGACAGGCAATCTTTGGAGATGTAGAAAAAGTTAAAACGTGAACAGTAACAAAATGCTGAAGTAAACAAAATAATAAACAAACTAGACAAGGTTTTTTTATCATCTTTCCTTTCTCGACTGCTTCTTTCCCTTTGGAGATTTCTTCTTTTCAGCACTACTGTTGTCATCCTCTTGTCCCGTTTCATCTTTTTTCGATTCTTTCATTCCTTCTTTCCCTTCCTTCTTGGTGGGTTTCCCCTCTTCCTTTGTCTGGTTTTGCTGTTTTTTGTACCACCTGATGGAAAAGAAAGAAAAAGTTTTTACCAAATTGATAAAAATAAGCAAAGTCACCTATTCTATGCTTCTCGTCATGATTATTTGAATCAACATTTAACAGCTTTGGCCCCATCAAAAGTTGGGGAACAACAGGCACTAAGCTAAATTGTGAGTGACTGAAAAAATCTTTCAGGTTAAATACTAAGGAGCATAATTTATACCTGCACAACCTGTGAGCTGTGTGTGTGTGTGTGTGTCTTGGGGAATGTCTCACCTGTAGGCTTGAAACACAGACATGAGCACAGGAACACTCATGGGCAGGAACAGGGGGATGTAGATGGTTATGGTATGTGTGTATGTATTTACATTGTATATCTCTTATACCTGTGTGTGTGTGTGTGTGTGTGTGTGTGTGTGTGTGTGTGTGCCTTATACCTGTGTGCCTTATACCTGTGTGTGCATGTGTGTGTGTCTGTGTGTGTGTGTGTCTGTGTGTGTAAGTGTGTCTGTGTGTGTGTAAGCGTGTGTGTGTAAGCGTGTGTGTGTAAGTGTGTCTGTGTGTGTGTGTGTTTGTGTGCTTGTATGTCTCTCACCTGTAGGCTTGGAACACAGACATGAGCAAAGGAACACTCATGGGCAGGAACAGGGGGATGTAGATGGTTATGGTAAGAGTGTGTGCGTGTGTGTGTCTCACCTGTATCTGTATCTGTATCTGTATAGCCGGTATAACCGCCTTTCGGCGTAACACACCAGCTTCGCAGGCACGCGGCGCGGCGGCAGCTGGCTATATTACACCGATCGACTTGTTACACCTAACCCTTGAACTTCTAGCTCTAGACATTGTTTAAAGCTATCTATTGACAATGCCCCTACTGTACTTGGTGACAGTGAGTTCCACTCTGCGATAGTTCTAGGAAAGAATGAATTCTTGAACACCTCAATCCTTGGTTGATAACTCTGGTACTTGAATGCGTGGCTATTTCTTGTTCTCTTCTGGGCTGGTATTAGGTACTTAGTAGTACCTAATACCTAGTACTTACCTGTAAGCTTGAAACACAGACATGAGGACAGGAACACTCATGGGCAGGAACAGGGGGATGTAGATCGCAAACTTCTGGTCCTCCGGGAAGTACAGGAGCTCCAGCAAGGACGGGTCGAAAAAAGCCTTTTCTGTAAAAAAAAGGATGATTTTGACAAAATTCAGAATAGTTGTCCTTTCTTGTTGTACAATCTGTTAAGCTAAGAGGCCCTTAAAAACTATATTTTGCCAGAGTTTCAAATTTGTATTTTCCCACCTGTACAAAGTAGTAGATTGTACTCTGTGATCCTAAAATACACCCAACAAATTTTTTCTTCAAACGTGTTTCAAATTTGTTTCCTTACCTGAGGAAAGTATGGCTGCTTTGGAGGCTGGAAAGCTGATCGGAGTTTCAAATTTGTATTTTCTCACCTGTGTAAAGTCATTCTAGTACATTCTACTCTGTATTCCTAAAATTCATTGTACAATGGACCTATACCATTATTACGTCACAGTTTGTTTACCTGTTCTAAAGAACATTCTAGAACGGTCAGTTAAAGAATCAAGATCATTTCAAAGTTTTCAAAGTAAGGTATGTCTGATTTTTGCTGCGTCTAGTTGTGTTGACACAGCATTACATGCCACATGGGTGACCTAATTGTTGTGACATTAGACGAAAGTAGTACAGTAACTGTATTAAAAGCCTTATATTAGGCTAACGCTACACAAACACACACTGCGCTACGCACACCTGTAAAATATAAATGTCGATTGACCGGCATTCATTGCGGTAAACAAACTGTGACGTAATAATGGTATAGGTCCATTGTTTCAAAACTGCTTCCTTACCTGAGGAAAGTATGGCTGCCTTGGAGGCCTGGAAGGCTGCAGTTAGCTCGCCTGCCCCCAGGTGGTGCTGTGCCTCCCTGATGGCGTCCACGGCCAGGTAGACCTGCCGGGCGATGTCGTCGTTGATCACGATGTTCCCAATTTCTCCGAGCAGCTGCGAGAGCGACGCCAGCGTGGCCGTTGCCGTGGCAACGTTCTCGACGGTCCGCACCCGCAGCAGGTGGTCATATTCCTGAAGGGAGGAGTGAATGAGTGAGTGAGTGAGTGAATGTATGAATGGAAGAACATCTGGCGTTCTCTACAGTCCGTACCTGCAGCAGGTGGTCATATTCCTGAAGGAGTGAGGGAATGAATGAATGAAAAATGAATAAACAAATGAATTGATAACTAGAAACTAAAGGTAACATTAGCAAAGCAAATACATAATGTTAACATTCACATGGTCTGGCCTATCAAGCAACTCTGCTCTGTTAATTCCTCCTCAAACACATTCAGATATGTGGTGACCAGCCCCTCCAACTCTGTCCTACCACTTGCTACATAATGTGATCCAACACCACAGGGTGTCTGCTACAGCACCAGTTACCATGGGGACAGCCTATGAGGACATTGGCCTTATTTGTTTGAAGAAGAAGAAACTGGCAAAATGGGCAAGCTTTCGAGCTTTGTTTTCAGGACATCTTATGTATATTTTTCAGAAATAACATTCTATGCCATGAAGCCCACCCAGTCAGTGATGGCAGTGTTGTCTGCCGGTTTCAGTTGCTTGTCAATGAGTAACTGCTTTTTGGCATATCGTATTACGTATTACCTGGATAGCTAACCTTCATCGACGCATATTAGGCATACATGTATTTTTGGGGCACCATATGCTACGCCATAAAACCCACCCAGTCCGTGATGGCGGTGTTGTCTGCCGGCTCCACCACAATGGTGTCGGCGGGCAGCTGGGCCACGCCTAGCAACAGGAACGGCTGACCATTTCCAAAATACATATCCAGTTGCTTGAGTAACTGCTTTTTGGCATATCGTATTACGGCTGTCTCAACCTTTGAAAGCGAGAGAGTTGCCGCCGTGGAGGCAAAAAGGATGGCCAGGAAGGAGCGTCAACGTCAACAAAAGGACTAAGAACTAACACCATTGGACTCGCCCTACTCCGTGGAGTGGCTGTCAACACATTACCTGGATAGCTAACCTTCATCGACGCATATTAGGCATATTTTGGGGGCACCATATGCTACGCCATAAAACCCACCCAGTCGGTGATGGCGGCGTTGTCTGCTGGTTCCACCACGATCGACGGGTCGGCGGGGAGTTGGGCCACGCCTAGCAACAGCCGCAGGTGCGAGAGGAACGTCTCCATGACCGGGAGAAGGTCAAGGGTTACGGCCAGCGGGAGGGACGCGTTCTTCGGCGGCGAGTCGACGTTCACGATCTTCATGCCGCCCCAGCGAGGACTGAAGAAGGCGTTGGTCTCCGACTCCAGGCCTGGACAGGAAAAGAAAAGAAATATCAGTGAGTCAGTGACGAAAATACATTTTGCCAACACACTTATCGGACACACGCTTATCGAAAAGAGTTTTGACGTTCATGATCTTCATCCTACAACAACAAGGGCTGCAGAAGGCGCTGGTTTCCGACTCCAGGCCTGGACAGGAGAGCGAGAACAAGGCATCTGTGAGGGGTTTCAGCAGGGAAAGGTGGTCTAACAATGTGGTCATTGACTTGGAATGGAACGGTTCTGGGTTCGAATCCCATGCAGGTCCTAGCTGGTGTGTTACGCCGAAGGGTAGTTAAACTGGCCAAGAAATAAGCATCTGATATTCAATTTAGACTTTTTTTAGTGAATTGAAAACTGGGAGAATGTACAGAGACTGGCCGCTGCCCCCAGAAGAGGGGTTTCCGGAAAAGGCTGTGCTGTGCATGTGCTGTGCCCCTCTGCAGGGCCCCAAGCCATCACATGTTAAAGCTGCATTATGAAACTTTTTACGCAAAAATTTTAAAATATTCTAATTATGCTAAATTTCGGTGTTATCAACAGTTACTATCACTTTTTAACACATTTGTGTCATTATTTCACATTTCTGACGTATATTTTGTGCGTTCAAACAGTTCTTGTTCAGTTCCCGGTGCCACCGGTTTGCTCAGGACAACAACAACAACAACAGGCAGTGGTTGGCCCCCCTAGTGTGGCTAATTGGTCGGGCATGACAGGATAGATAGACAGGAGCACATGTCACAAGATTGACTTCTTAATTGGAAACACTCATATCTTTGACATGAAGCGGAATATGATTATCAACTTAGTGTATCTTATTGGGTATCAATAAACTGTGCCATTATCCCTTCAAAAGAGATAAAAAATCTGGTAAATGATGAGGTCTTTCAGAAATTTGTACAAAGCTGTCAACTGACGCCCCACTGGGAGGTACATGTACCATATGTGGACAATACCATATGTTAGTCTCCACCAGACTCCTTTGCAGGCTGAATGAATAGTAGAAATTGGCTAAGGGGAACATCATTGGCCAGAGGAGTTGGCCGGCCATAGAGGGTCCAGCTTACCTGCAGGAGACTAACCATACATGTATGTGCGGTGTGGCCAGAGGTTTGAATAGAAGATCATTCACAGTTTTGTAAGCTCATAAGGAGCAAGGATGTTGTATTTTTGTTGCTGCGTATTATTCTGGAACACTAAAGGGTTAAGTCAACGTACTATGTAAAGAAAAGAATGGAAAATATACTTTTTGTATTGTCAAAAAGTCATATAATGCCCCTTTAACATGTGATGGCTTGGGGCCCTGAAGAGGGGCACAGCACATGCACATGCACAGCACAGCCTTTTCCGGAAACCCCCAGAAGAGAGCCCCTAAGTCTAGAAAGTAAGATGTTTAATGCATTTTGTACTTTGATCATAGCCTACAAGAACCCACAACACGAAAACAGTAGGAGTCTTGGGATGAAAGGAAAAAGAATTGAGCAAAGAGAATCAGTCTTGCACTGTGGTAGATTGCAGTCAGACTACCCAAATGTTAGCTGAGGTAACTTTCTCTTAGATTGTGTGCAAGCATGCAACTTTGCTAACCAAGGAAAATTGCAGTTCAGAAAATTTCTTGATCAAAATTTCCACATACAACAAGAGCTTTCTGACTGTGATTTGTGAAAGCTGAAATACTGACCTTCTTCATTGTGGATGTAGAGAGGAGAATGACCCCGTTCCGGGATGTACACCAGGAAGTGCACGCTGGGATACGTGGAGACATGGGAGCCTGGGGTAAACAACAAAATGTCAGTCAAACTCATTCACAGCAGTTCACAAGAATTTTCACTAAAAAAAACAAATACAACTTTTTCATGTGATTTAACTTTTGGCTTTTATCTCAACGTACAGCAGAATTAAGAGCTGGAAGAACTTCTCTCTCTCATTCTCTCTATCCGATTCATCATCTGTTGTTCCCCGTAACCAAGGGTTAGACATGCTTGCACTCTGATGCTGGGGCTTGATGATAGCTCAGGCCATTTGCATCTGTCCTGTAGTTCTGTGGTTTTCTTAATCTTATTAGCACTCGATGTTCAACAACACAAGAAAGGTGTCTATTTTTTAAGCAAGATTTGTCCTGACCTAGCTTGGCCTCCACTGGGTTGATGGTGTGAGGCAGCTGGTCAGAGGTCAGGTCATGGGTTACAGGTCAGGTCACAGGTGAAATTACTACAACATAAAATCTTATTTTTTTCTAGTAAGATTTGCCCTCACCTAGCTTGGCCTCAACAGGGTTGATGGTGTGTGGCAGCTGGTCGGGGGTCAGGTAGTAGGACGCTGTGCGCTCGTCACGGGTCGGTCGCACGGACAGGTCAGTGTAGTACAGCACCTGGGGACATGTCAAGGGTTGAAGGACAGGCCATGGGTTAAAGATCAGGTCAAACGGTGCTTGGAATTTCATGCACTAAAAATCTGATTTGAACCTGAGGGCTCATTGGAGGTTGTCAGGTCAGTGTACTATATATATACTGGGTATACATGTACATCTTTGGGGATTTGGAAGATGTCAGTTTTATGAAACAGAATAAATCATAATCATAGACACTTCACATGAAACACAAAAGACAAAACATTACTATCAAAATGAAGATAGTATCATACATTGTAAGATACGAAATGAGATTAAAAAAACATTGTCAGTGTCCCTGATATGCCTGGTATGTATGAGGAAATAACCATGAAAGCATGCACATCAAACACACAAACAGACACTAGAAAAAGAACATATAGGCACAAGAACAAAGTTTACGCACCTGTGAGAAGACCTGAAACTCGGCGATGTTGGCCAGCCTGTCCAGGAAAGGGTTCAGGTAGCTGGCCGTCGCCGCCTCCATGTCCCAGCGGACGTCCAGCACGCTCGGGTCAGGGTTCAACAGGCTAAAGGTCACCTCGTACCCTGTGTTGGTCTTGAAGGCTTGCATCTGTTCCTTAGCAATGTTCTCCTGCAAGGCAGAATCAGGGTCTGAGTTTAGTTATGTTTACCAGAGGAAACAATGTTTTTGCTCTGTTTCTTCCTCCTCTTCTTCTTCTCCAAACAGTGACCTCTGACCTGACCAATGACTTGATTTGTTGACGTCTGTCACCATGGTGACTGATGTTGGGTTACATAATGTTGCAATTTCATGGTCTGCTCTGCTCCTGTCCCCATATACTAGTAATACATGTATGTGAATGTGTTTGAGTAAGAATTAACAGAGCAGACCGTGTCCAAAGGTAAACATTATGTCTCTAGTTAATTAGAGTAATAACAGAGGAATAAGAAAATCCCAATATGATGAAATTACATGTATTTTTAGAAGTAATAACAGTAATAACTTTCTAGGGTGATTTGAATCCACTGTATAGTAGTAGAGGAAAGTTGCTGTTAATTTTTCCCAATGCTAGACTTTGTCTAGTCCTTTTCAACAAGTATCTATGTTTTATCATGAAAGTTCATATGTCTTGGTAGTTACATTACGTGTTTAAAGTTAAAACTTTCTCTCACCTGGAGCTTTCGATCAGTGAGAGAACTTTTTGTGTTGGATCGAAAGTTTTAACTTTAATCAAGTATCTATATGTTAACAACGTGTAAAACAAAATTAAATAAACCACAGCTTTGTATGTTTTTTGTTTAAAGTTAAAACTTTTGATCCAACACAAAAATTCTCTCACCTAGAGCTTTCGACCAGTCACTATGGTCTTCCTCAAAACTTTAAACATGTAACTACCAACACAGATGAACTTTCATGATAGCTTTGTATGTTGTTTGTATCTTTTTTCTCCTTGTGCCAACCATTGAAAACTCCCACCTTGTCATGCTGGGCTCCGGTTGCGGAGGTGAAAGTTGTTTTCAGTCTCTCGTCGTTCACGAAGTAGGACCTAACCAGGTGTGCCGAGATCCGCACATCTCGGGAGACGTCTACAGGTGAAAGGGAAAGAAAGGGAAAGTGATCTTGAACCAGTGTTTAGCTCAAATGAACTTAACCAACAGTTGAGCTAATCTTATACAAACACACGTTATGTATGTATGTATGTGTGTCATGGGATTCAAACTCATAACCTCTTGTTCCAGGGTTAACGTCATACTTGGTGTTAGTGGCTCTTCAAAAATCCCCATAAAATCAAGAAACAGAATTTCTTGTCATAATATTAAATATTTTAATTTGTGAAAATTTTTTTTACATGTTAGAAGCAAGAAATGAATGACTAACATTAGACGTATTTCAGACATAAGGAGCAAAGACTGAGATCTAAACCTCATTTATCTGCTTATTCATTTTTTTTTACCAGGGCAGCACTGTCAGTGACAGACACTGCTTTTCAGTGTGGCCCTGGGTGCATATCTACATGTATACAACAAATCATTGTACAAGACAAGACAAGACAAGACAAGAACAGAATTATGCATCAAAGACAAAATCATTGTCCTCACCTCCAGAAGACTTGATGAAGGCAGTCCTATGCCGTCCGATGTAAGCCAGAGCCTCCAGACTGCTGTCCTTTCCCAGCAGGTAAACTGTACAACTCCCCACACCTGGGGGGTGTAACTCTGTCAGCTGCAGGTCTAGGGCTAGGCAGGGGGGGGGGGGGAGGGAAACTCAGAAACGAACTAGCAAGGAATCAAATACCTCATACAATCAAACCCAAAGGGTCCAGCTATAGCTACTGGCCTAGGTACTTGGAAAAAAGAAAGTGCTGATCTTTATGATCTTTAAACTGCATGAGATCCATTCCCAGAACTAACAGGCAGTTGGAAATAGACAATTCTCAGACCGACAATAGTTCGTTCATTTTGGAATATTTACATCAACAAGATCAAGCTGTTTCTCCTAGGGGCATGGTGAGGGGTTGTTTAACTTATAACTGGTAGAAGTGTGATGCAGGCTACTGTTACATTTTTCACAAATCAACAGGATTAAGATGTTTCTCCTGACTTAAAGGTGTTGGTCATCAAGCTTCTAGGGGCATGATGAAGGGTTGTTAAAACTTAACACACTTATTATTGGTAAAAGTGTGATGCAGGCTACTGCAGCTCCTACCTTCCATGGAGCCCTGTTGGTTGATGACCGTCCGTTCTTCCTTGTTGGTGGTTCTCACCTTGATGTCGTAGTGGGGTGAGATGGGACTGTAGGCTGTACCTGGTCACAACAAACAAACAACAAATGAAACAAATGAGCTTCTTGTTTTATACATTATTGTGAATTTCTGTGAACTTCTGCTGCCTACTCACATGTCCCTAATAAACATACCCCCCGGAATAAACATACCCCCCGGACAAATCGTCAAAGTCTAATAAACATACCCTCCGGAATAAACGTACCCCCCGGAAAATGACCAAATTGACAGGTGAACTGTGTGTCCATGATACTAAAATGTGCTCTTTATTTCAATGCCATTATATGGGCAAATCTTTCAGTTACATTTAATTAGTGAGTATATATCACTTTAATTAATGAGTATATATATATTGTACTTGTTTTGGGGAAATACGAAATCCATAGGAGAAGCTATTGCATTTTACACTTCTGAAATGCACTTTGCTAAGCCTTCTCCTGCAACTTGAGTTGAAAATCTGACTAACTTAAGAGATAGAAAATCAAGCCCAATTAAGTACAAATATAGGGGTTTGATGAGTATATCTACAACAAAATCCATTACAACATAATAATTATTTGGTATGGTACATTGTCTAGACTGGTCAAAGTCTGGATTCTGAAGAAGAAAAACTTCTGAAGAAAAAAACTTTTAGAAGAAAAAAATATTATTCAGCATAAAATTTTGATTGGTTTCCATCTCATTGTTTTTTTCAAAATCGATAATGTGATTGTATCAATTTTAAACGCCCTAAAATTAGCTAAATCGGCGCTTTTACGGTGATTGCGCAATATGGGTGCCCTATGACCTTTGACTTTTTACGGGTCATGCTGCTCAGGCGCTAGGCGCCCTCCCCACGTCGGCCGTCCGTCTTGTGGGCAAATTTCTCCTTTTTTAGGGGTTTCGGGACCTAAAAACTAACACCAGAGGGAAAATAAACCACATACGTTTTTTTCATGGTAAATATCGCTAAAATGGACCAGGCATTTTTCTGCCGCGTTGCCGATTTTGACAAGGACTTGCGGCCGCCGTGTGCTAAATACGTCGATATTAGCTACTCGCCTTCCCCTTCGGTTTTGTGGGCAAATTTTTGCTTTTTCAGACGTTTTGGGACTTAAAAATGGACAGCAGGCGAAAAATAAATAATATACATTATATTCATGGGAAATGCCGCTATCATGGACCAAATATTTATCTGTGACGTGTTGCCGAATTTTGCGGCCGCCGGCCACTTGCTGATGGTGTGGTAAGTTACGTACGGACAATTTTTTTCCCAAAAATTAATAAACGTACCGTCCCTAATAAGAATGTACCGGGTGGACGTTCGGGCCGAAAAAAATAAACGTACCGGTACGTTTAATCGGGACATCAGAGTAAGTATGCATTTCCCCACTCGGTTTCGTAAGGCAACAGACATGCATATATATATAAATTGATGATGAAGATAAATCTTTATTGCATGTTCATGCCCATGGGGCTAAATGTATATATACGGGTATGATGTTACATGTACATTAGCCTCTGCAACGCTCAAAAAAATGATTTGTGGAGTGAAAATCCAGATAGTGACCCAGGCTACATGTACATGTACATATGGATACTGAGTATCATAGTACATATAATACATACATGTACATACATGTACATACATGTACACAGTTTAGATCACATATGCCGCATGCCATCAGATAGTATCACCAGAACAGCTCTAAGATGGACGCCTCAGGGCAGGAGACCTAGAGGACGACCGAAGGAAACATGGCGAAGAACCATCGACAAAGAAGTGCGGAGCCATGGTTTCACTCTTGACGAGGCACCAAAGATGGCAGCGGACCGGGCCAGATGGAAGAGCTACCTTCTGCGGTAAGAGCCACACTGGCTCAGAAGAGGACTAACGTAACATACATACAGGAAAAGTGAGATCTGGACAACAGGAATATAAGATTACCTGACAGTGTGTTATACAGTTTGTATTTAGTAGTAATTTATATTTACCTGTGCCCAGGTGTTATATTTACCTGTGCCCAGGTGTTGGTCCACCTGTTCCCTCCAGTCCAGCAGGTCCTGCGGCTGAGTCTGCAGAGGCAGGACAAACTCCACCCCGACCTTGTAGGTGACCTTGATATGGGGAGGGGGCAGTCAGTCTTTTGAAACAAGTTTGACCTGTGACCTCACTACTTCCTACTGATTGGGACCATGAATTTGGCTTGCAGTTTTATGTACTTTATCCTTGCATGTTTATGTTTTACAAAAACAAAAAAAAGGAAGAGAACAACAGTTAGTAGTATATTCCTTGACCAGTGACTGTTTTTGAAAGGTAGTAAACATGTACCTCCAAAAGTTTTTTATGTCCACTGTAAGCCTTGATCACAGTGTGAAAACACAAGACAAGACAAGACTAGGTCGAGACTTGTGCAGGTATTCTGGCCTCCACCGCCTCCTTGCGAAGTTGGGGAAAGTAGGACTTGGGCAACTCCCAACTTCCTTTGCTACCTTTCAAAAACACTGATCGAGGAATGTTCTGCTAACTGTTAATCTAAATGTGACTGATGAACCTCTTTAACAACAAAAAAGAAGAAATTATTTTTGCAAAGTCAATAACATTACCTGAGCATCCTTCAGCTGCCCTATGTCAGTGTATGGCAGTGTGGCCCTGTACACTTCTGTAGTTTTCCAAAAGTATTCAGATAATATTATATTTCTTATCTTGTGAGTATATGCATACACATATATATATATACCTGAGCATCCTTCAGCTGCCCTACAATGTGTATATCAGCGTATGGCAGCGTGGCCCTGTACACTTTGGTAGTTTTCCAAAAGTGCTTGGATATTCATATGTATATACAATATATCATATGATTATGAGTATATATGTACAGTGACATACATATAACACACACATACCTGTGCATCCTTCAGCTGTCCTATATCAGCATATGGCAGTGTGGCCCTGTACACTTCTGTAGTTTTCCACCAGAGAGGAACGCCGATCACCACGACAACCAGAGCCACCCCGAGGGTCGCATATACCTGGGTGGCTGTCTCTGCGGAAACAACAACATGGTATTTGAGGAGAACCACACCTTAAGCACATTAAAAAAAAAAACACCGCTAGTGCTGTGTACCTAAACCCACAATTACTGATTTTGGTTCAGTTCCGGTCTCATAAGTCCGTAACTAAACCCATGGCATATACAAAAGTGCATGTTAACAACCTTACAATGTTGCATTGGCAAAACTGTGGCCACATAACATGGAGGCCGTCACTTTTAACAATGCCCGATGGCAATGTCATGGAGCTAGCTAGAAAAGGTTGATCAGCTTGAAAAATTTATGTCCCTTGCAGGGGTGCACCCCAAAAAAGGGTAGGGTCCACAGTTTTTTCTAGGGTCGGTCAGGAAACAGGAAACACAACATTTTTTACCTAGGCCCAAGGAACTACAGTTTGTCTATTGTAAGCACATCTCTTGGGAAAATGTGACCAGACGATTTGACGTCATTAATAATTCATATATTTCTATTCATACAGACCTTGGAATGTAACTGCCATGAAGTGGACATGGCTAAAAATCATTGTGTGCTTTTATTCTACCGTGAAAACACCAGACTTTTCATTTTCAAAGCACACTTTAAACACTTGAATGAACTAGCTTCCACCGTTATCAACTGTTAGTAGTACAAGAGATACACTTCTGTACATTACACTTCATGGTTTTGAATGCTAAGCAGGAGATATGGCAACTCAATGAGCTATGCTTGTACAAGGAGGTTACAGGACTGGTTTGTAGACTGCAAATTGTTAATCACAACAAGGAGGTTTGAAGTCGAAACAGTCAACCAGTTCCGTATAAATATTGGTCCAACTTAACAAAGAATTCTTTGTCTCTGGTCTGTTTGAAAATAAAGTATATGGCAGTAGACCCCCCCCCCAAAAAAAGAAGAGTATGCTCCTAGGAGCACACAAAAGAAATGGCTTCCTAGAAAAGCTTTTAGACAGACGTAAGGAAACTTTCTGTCATCAGATTCAGAAGAATAAATAGCACCAAGTGACGTGGCCAGTGCACTCAGTTAATTGATACCAAACGTTTTACGCGTTCTCAACTGTTGGCCATTTTTACAGAACATTCGTAGTCTGCTTAGCGTTCTGGAAAACTCAAACTGACCATGGAAACCTTCTACATGAAAGCAGCCAAAAAAATACGCAGAAATGAGACGAATTCGCCCAGTTTTTACCTTCTTCTTCTTGCAAAGTCTTCCGCGACTCCCGTTTTGGTCCAGACGCCGCCATGTTGGTGACCTGACCCCTGACCCTTCACCCCTGCAGACGACGCGTGGGCACTTCCGGGTTCAGTCAGTGTGACAGATGCAGGCGGCTTTTTAGTGGTCTTCGCAAAGAAAAACATAAATTATGAAGCAACGGGGAAACTTTACGGTATATTGTAGAATGGATTGTTTTAACAAATGTTTGTGGTCAAGATTATGACCATATCTTTTATTTTCTTCTTTATATAACGATTATAATCATAACATTCCGACACTGCCGGTGGACAAATATGCACATCCTGTGTTTGCTTGGGTCGCGTTCTGCCGGTATTTGTTGACTTGGGACGTTACGTGTCTGTGAAGGACTGGACAGAAGGCTGAAGTCGTCAGGTAAGTTTGGGACGTCTTCTCCAATAATTGAGTAAACTAGAATGATACGTTTTTGCGTAACTTTACAAGTTGTGTACTCTAAGTGAGTGTATTTTTTGTGTGAACTGTTTATGTAAGTCCTGCTTGTGTTAGGTAACGTTAGACTATATTGACCGATGTTACGTAAACTTAAGGCTCACTAAACTTAAGCCGCAGCTGGGTACTAGTATATGATATTGATCGTCTAAAGCACATTCAAACAACTCTATTTCAAGAGAGTTTGTAGTCGTGACGTAGCCTTCATCTGTCGATCAGTCAAGACTCGAGACTTAGACTAATAGATTCAGGGTGCTGCCAGAAACGTTTGGTAGTCAAGATAGATAGCTAGTCTAGGCTCAAAGAATATTTTGTTCTTGGCCAACATATGGTGGCAAGTCAATTGATGGCACATGTAACATATTGTGTTTACATCTTGAATCCACTGTCCATTTGGTACTGTATTGTATTTGGATAGACATCTAGGTAATGAGATATACAAGAAAACAATTTGTCAAGTACATAGATTTAAAAATCTTTGACAGTTTTCAAAATATATTCAGTTACTGTTTTCTCGACATTTCATTGCACTAAGGTGTTGTGAAATGATGCATCTTATACATGTACTTTTCCTTTCTTAAGTAGTGTCTTAAGGAGACATGAAGAAGCTGGTCGTCAACGCGGACGACTTCGGCTACTGTCCCGAGCGTAACCGCGGCATCGTGGAGAGCTATCTCCATGGTGACGTCACGACTGCTTCACTGATGGCCAACACCGACGCTGCAGAGGTAATGTATCAGGCATGGCACGTCAGCTGAGCTCATCTTTTACTAAGTGTTACCCTACCAATCCTCGTTCCAGATCACAGTTCCTATTCCAGATGACAACGCAATTACGACCCGCGAAGCCAGAGCATAGAGACGACTGAGTGTATTCTTTGTTCTCTCAAACCAACTGCGCAGTACGCATGCGTACATCGGATCAAACCATTATCCTAAAGGGGGTTATTTCTACATGGCAACATAAGTCTTATGTCGTAATTGAGTATTGAAATGAAGAAAAACTTGACAATTCTGACAGGAGAAGAAAGAAAACAATTTGAATAGTTAGACTGTCTATGGTTTTTAAATGCCCTCCGTGCAGTTGACAAAAGGCTCCATTATAAAAACTGCATGTTGGAACTATTCAGATCGTAGTAATGACGGACTGGACGACAGTATCGCGGTAGAAAGTTCAGATGAACTCGAGGACGTGAGCTCCCACTGCCCGCTACTTGTGATGACAATATGCAGATGACCTCTGGGTCAAGTTAGGTCAGGGGTCGTATAATGTGCAGCTAATAAATCTATTTGATCTGTCGCCCAAATAACTACATACCTATCGATAATTCTCGTACCCTCCATGCAGGATGCCATAAAGCTTGCCGTGCTCCACGCCATCCCCCTGGGTCTGCACTTGAATCTGACAGAGGGGCGACCGGTCAGTAACCGTCTGCGAGCCGGGTCTAGCCTGGTGGATGGGGACGGGTGGTTCCACGGAAAACTGGGTGTCAGGAAGACCGCCTACAGTGGAAGCCTGGACACTGCAGAGGTCTGGCTGTGTAGTTTTTGTACTTGTTTAAAGTTTAAACTTTAGATCCAACACAAAGAATATCTCTCACCTGGAGTTCTGAACCAGTCACTCTGGTCTTCCTCAGTAGACTGACCCAGTGGCAGTGATGCTTGTCATGAGGCTTCTCTGAAGTGTGAAGTCAACACTGGGTCAAAGGTATCTATGTGACAAGCCTCAGTGGGTCAGTCTATACTGAGGAAGACCAGAGTGACCGTTTGCGGTTGGGTCCATTCTGGTAGACGGGGACGGCTCGTTCCAGGGAAAACTGGGCGTCAGGAAGACTGCCTACAGTGGAAGCCTGGACACTGCAGAGGTCTGGCTGTGTAGTTTTTGTACTTGTTTATACTTAAGTTAAAACTTAAGATCCAACACAAAGAAATTCTCTCAACTGGAGCTTTGAACCAGTCACTCTGGTCTTCCTCAGTAGACTGACCCAGTGAAGCTTGTCACATGGCTTCTCTGAAGTGTGATATCAACACTGGGTCAAAGGTGTCTGCTAGACCATATTAACCTTAAAACTTAAGATCCAACACAAAGAAGTTCTCTCACCTAGAGCTTTTGACCAGTCACTCTGGTCTTCCCCAGTAGACTGACCCAGTGAGGATTGTCACGTGGCGCCTTTGAAGTGTGACGTCAACACTGGGTCAAATGGTATCTGGAAGACAATGTGACAAGCCTCACTGGGTCAGTCTACCGAAGAAGACCAGAGTGACCGTCTGTAAGCGGGGTCCATTCTGGTGGACAGAAACGGGTGGTTCCACGGAAAACTCGGCGTCAGGAAAACGGCGTACAGTGGAAGCCTAGACACCGCAGAGGTCTGGCTGTGTAGTTTTTGTACTTGTTTAAAGTTAAAACTTTAGATCGAACACAAAGAAATTCTCTCATCTATCTGGAGCTCTGGAGCAGTCACTCTGGTCTTTCTCAGTAGACTGACCCAGTGAGGCTTGTCACGTGGCTTCTCTGAAGTGTGACATCAACACTGGGTCAAATGTGTCTGGTAGACCATAAACTTCAAAACTTAAGATCCAACACAAAGAAGTTCTCTCACCTAGAGCTTTGAACCAGTTGCTCTGGTCTTCCTCAGTAGACTGACCCAGTGAGGCTTGTCATGTGGCTTCTCTGGTGAAGTCAACACTATTTCAAAGGTCCTCGGTTACTCCCCTGTGTGGGCTGCAAAAAACTGCCAGTTTGTCAGTGTTGATTGCAACAATGTTGTGGGCTATGTTGAAATAAGACAATTGTTGGTCTGTGTTGACAGGTTGGGGAGGAGATAGAGGCCCAGCTGAGATGGTTTGCAGACCGGCTGGGAAAACCGCCGACACACATAGACGGACACAACCACGTCCATGTGCTGCCAGGTGGGTTATACTAAGTCTTTGCGCCACACAAATACTCACTCACTATGCGGTTTATTGTCTTGTTCCCTGTGTTCTGAGGGTTAGACATGCTTGCACATCAATACTGAGGCTTGATGGCAGCCTGCCATTTGCCTCAGTCTGTCCTGTGGGTTGATGTTCTGTAGAATAAGGTGGTGGAAGTCCTCCCTTATGTTGTCAATCCACCTCTTCTTTTGGTTGACCACAAGGGTTTGGGCCTTCCACATCCAGTGTGATGATCTTTCTAGGCCACTTCTCCCATAGTGACAGAGAATACTGAGTTTGTATCCTGGACTGTCTTCGCCATAAAGTACCCTGATCATGAGTTTCCATATATTTGTAGTTCTGGCAATGGGAATGGTTCATTCTATTGAGTAAGAGGAGTATTCCTATTCAAAAGTTTGATGCCCTGAGTAAAGAGACTCTTTTTACACAACCAAGTCTTTTTATTCAGCCCAGGTTTCGGTGACCGTCTGTCACCTTCCTCAAGGCAATTCTGACTGGTTCACATTGCATTGCAGCACAGGTGTCGCTGCTATAGATGCTTTCCTAAATGTGGTCCCAAACTCCCGTACGTTTGGGACCACATTGTAGATACATTTCCCTGTCAGAATTGCCCTGAGGTAGGTGACAGATGGTCACCGAAACATCGGCTGAATAAAAGACTTGGTTGTGTAAAAAGAGTCTCTTTACTCAGTGTCTTACCAACCTGATGAAACTATTCACGGGCATATTCCATCCCCTCGCAGGTGTCCGTGATGTATTCGCAGCCGCGGCAGCTGCAGCAGGTGTCGGGTGGATCAGGCTACCTGTCCAGTGTGACCTCCCGGCGTGCCCCTGGGTCAGCGAGGCGCAGCAGGACTTCTTTAAGGAGGTGGAGGAGGACTGCCGAGACGCCCAACAAGTCTTCTTACAGAACGGACTCAAGTGAGTTAATACAACATGTCATTTCAAAATTTTGTTGGTTCAAAAATTTTCTGAGTTCTGAGTAGCTAGTTTCCTAATCGGTGTCACTGGAGGGAAGTCTGTTATGTTGTCAGGATATGCAAATATTGTCATAATTAATGAATTCTGCATGGTCAGAGCCCAACTCTCCCTGGACCCTCCCGCCTTCCACAAGTGTTATGATTTCTACTCTAGTGAGTCCCCTTTTGCCAAAAATTAGACTAGTGTGTCTACAACAACAACCATTCCTGTCTTCCATGTAAAGGAGAAGCAACAATCTTTTCTCCGACCTTATTATGGTAATGCTCTAAATATTGTAACAGATGCTGTCATACATCTCTTACTGCTAGAAAAATACTTGAAATATTGTTGAAATACTTGAAATATTGTTGAAATACTTGAAATATTGTTGAAATACTTGAAATATTGTTGAAATACTTGAAATATTGTTGAAATACTTGAAATATTGTTGAAATACTTGAAATATTGTTGAAATACTTGAAATATTGTTGAAATACTTGAAATATTGTTGAAATACTTGAAATATTGATGAAATTCAGTGTTATTCCCTTGCGTGTTACAGGTTGACTGACTCATTTGTCGGCCTGGCAACCATGGGGTCAGACATGTCTGTCCAGCGCGTCTGCGATTCGCTACGCGCTGCCTACAAATCAGCCAATCAGGAAGCCTCGTCGCCCGGTAGGAGTCATGTGACCTGCGAGATCATGGTGCATCCTGGGTACCCGAGCATGCTGGGATGCGGCGGGTGCGGCCAGGGCCCGGACGAGTTCTCGTTGTCACATGACCGTCACCACGAGATGACGGTCCTCGGCGACGAACGTCTCAAGACATTTTACAAGGAGGAAGGGATTGAGCTAAGTTCCTTCACAGACCTTTAACTTCGCCGCGTGCCTGTGAAGCTGGTGTGTTACGCCGAAGGGCGGTTATACCGGCTATACAGATACAGAGGCTGGTGTGTTACGCCGAAGGGTGGTTATACCGGCTATACAGATACAGAAGCTGGTGTGTTACGCCGAAGGATGGTTATACCGGCTATACAGATACCTCAACTTACTCTACTCAGAAAGCACGTCGGCAGAACGTACTGCACCTGCGCAAAACCCAGATTTTTCACGGTTTTCATTGGATGTTTGGTCAACAGAAATTTGCCTGTTGCAGACGATGTCTTTTCCAACATAAACTTTTGAAACTACAGGCGGGATGCTAACCTTTATTATGTACCCGAATATAACCTTATATGAAACGTTCTGCTGAAGTGCTATGCACAATACATTACGGGTTTCGCGCAGGTACAGTACGTTCTGCCGTCTTGCTCTCTCAGGAGAGGATGCCACACTTTTTCCAGAAATACTGTGCAAATATTACTATTTTTCATAGTACACTATAAGTATTGAATTCAGATACCAGGGTACATTGATACATCCTCAGAGAATTTTCCCAGTTGCATGAAGTATTTTGTATCTTGTATTGTATAATTAATTGTAACAGTTATTCAATTCAATATGTGCAATGGTCATGGATAGTGCCACTGCATTTTTAGTGCAATTTTGTCAAGACGAAATTCTCAATATTTTTACAAATATTTTATTGTACCAGGATGGACAAAATAAGTATTTATGATATGTTCTTAGATATGAAATAGATATAGAAGAGATATAGAAGTTCTTAGACCAGAAGCTAGTGTGTTATGCCGAAGGGCGGTTATACCGGCTATACAGGTACAGATATTTTACACAGTGACTAGTTTCTGAGTATTTTTCTACTGTGTAGGTATATAGTTCATGCAGTGTTCCAAGTCAGAGGACTTTTAAAACAGAATCTTTACCAGTATATTTTAAGAGAAGACCTGAAGCATATGTGTGCATATTTGCAGCACTATTTAATATATAACATTATGGTTCTGATATTAATTTGTTTATAAGCACACAGTTACAAACATACAGTGTATCTAGAGGTATTTTATCAGTGCCAACATATGAAGTTCTTACTAGTTTAAAAGTAGTATAATTTTAAGCAAGCATTTTTAAGGTCGATTAAGTAGTACAAATGTAATTGTTATTGGTAAATGGTATACAATCCATTTCATGGTTTTGAAATGTTAAGCATTTGTCAATGAGATTTTAAGAGTTACTAAATAATTTGAGTTTTAAATCCCAAGAGAATTGTCGATATTGCAGTTTGTTGTTTTAATAGCTAGGAATTGTCAAATGAATGTAAAGCACAAAAAATGCAGATTTTATGGCTCCTATCATAGCATTTGGGGCTATCATAGAGTGCTAAAGCCTGTGTATATTTTGTCACTCACTCACTCACTCACTCACTCACTCACTCACTCACTCACCCACTCACTCACTCACACTCACCCACTCACTCACTCACTCAGTGTACTCACTTTTTTCTGCAAAAATCCTAGAACCAACAATCAAATTGGCATGGCCTTGGTTAGCATTTATTTTTATTGCACTCCACTCTTATATAGTTAGTACACATTCTTCTGTTTCTGTATAAATTATATGTACAATACTGCATCAAAGAGATCTATAACTTATAGACAAATGTGTCAATGTCTTTTCTTTCTCCAATAAAATAAACTGGTCTTCACTAGTACCATTTGGCCCTGAGTGTCCATAATTTCCTGCCTAAAACTAGTACTACACTTAAAACCGGTTTGAACTGGTACGATTTGTCCTGTTGGAACCAGTCTAATCTGGTTGAAACTAGTTTGGACTGGTACTATCTGACCAGAGGCCTGAGGTAATGTACAACCAGCAGAACCAGTTTGATCTGGTTGAAACCAGTTTGGACCGGTACTATCTGACCAGAGGCCTGAGGGTGTTGATGACCATGTATCTGGAGATAAACAACCATCGGAACCAGTTTATTCTGGTTGAAACCAGTTTGGACTTGTGTACCACCAGCAGACCAGTTCAATCTGGTTGAAACCAGTTTGGACCGGTACTATCTGCCCAGAGGCCTGAGGGTGTTGATGACCATGTATCTGGAGATGTACAACCATCGGAACAAGTTTATTCTGGTTGAAACCAGTTTGGACTTGTGTACCACCAGCAGAGCCAGTTTAATCTGGCCCAAACCAGTTTGGACCGGTACTATCTGCCCAGAGGCCTGAGGGTGTTGATGACCATGTATCTTGAGAAGGCGATGTACAACCATCTGAACCAGACCAGCTGCGACCGGTGGGCACACATTGCACGCTGTGGGGAAGGGGTGAACAGTGTTAGTACATTGGTCCGAAGACAAACTGCTATTTTATTTTAATTCAATTGTAACAAGACAATACATTGGCCACCCAGGCAGCATGGCTGATTTCGGGTGCCAAACAATACAAAGATTAAACATACACAATATAACATAAATACAGTAAGCTAGCCTTGGTGCTGATTGGCTCCAAGGATGGTTTGTAAGTTCCTATTGGTCTACAGGTGCTAGCCTTGGTGCTGATTGGCTCCAAGGATGTTTTGTAAGTTCCTATTGGTCTACAGGTGCTAGCCTTGGTGCTGATTGGCTCCAAGGATGTTTTGTAAGTTTCTATTGGTCTACAGGTGCTAGTCTTGGTGCTGATTGGCTCCAAGGATGTTTTGTAAGTTTCTATTGGCCTACATGTGCTATCCTTGGTGCTGATTGGTTGTTGCAGTGCAATGGAAGACATGAAATGATGTGCAGAATAAGCACTTCAGAAAATCCAAACAGAATATTCTGAGGGTTTCTCTATTCTAGTATCTCACCTGGGCCTTCAATACTGCTGGGTATCCGGACAGGAACAGGGTACTAGCAGAGCTGAGGGTGCTGGGTAGGACATCTAGGAACGAGGTGTACTTTCTCAACAGGCTGACACTTTCCAGTGCGTAGACCAGTATATCTGAGGGTGTCAAGAAAGGTATTAAAACAAGTTGTTTCGACACTGTATCTAAGCACAATATTAGAAACATGTTGGGTTGAATTTGTTTGGATCCACACTTCATATACAGTAGCTACTCTACAAAATATCTTTCTTTACAATAAAGCTAAAAAAGAAGTAAATGAAGTCTAGCATACTCTCTGGCAGGTGTCCTCTGCTCACCAGGTCATTGACCCCGTGGTACAGGCTGCTGTGGTTCTTGTGACTGCTGACTCCGTAGGGGTCAAAGGTTATGACCTGACGTGGGGGGGGGCAGAAGAGGTTTTGATTTAGAAATTCTGGATCAATCAACCTTGCCTGGGTACCATCCGCATTTTTGCGGATGGTACCCATTTTTGTGGATGGTATCCCGCAGTCCCAATTGTGATTTTTTCAAGCGTTCCGGACCGAAAATCCGGATGGTACCCAGACTACAGTCAACAAGGAGGATTTGTGAGAACCAACTTACAGTGTTCACAGATCAATGAAACGTTATTGTTGACCTTTTTGTAAAACAAACCACATTTGCAAAATTGTTGGCCCTTCCATGAAGAAAAACTTACCACATTCACAGATGTCTTGTTCAGACATATTAGTATTTGTGAAGACTAAGTACCTACTACAAAGACAAACTTACCACGTTTGCAGATGTCTTGATGACATGCTCCATTATCTTCTGTGCAACCAGTTTGGTATCCCAGGCTTTGTTCATATCGTCAGGAAGATCACTGAAACAGAAATGGTGGCTCAGGTTATAATAACTTATGTTTCATTAATAACATCTACCTGCATGCATGTGCTATACTTCAATGTGTGTGTGAAACATCAACATATATGGAGGTTATACTGTGTTTCAAGCCTAGCAGGTCTGACTTTGTTTCTGTATCTGGTATAACCGTCCTTCAGCGTAACACACCAGCTTCGCAGGCACGCAGCAAAACGACAGCTAGAACGGCCTGTTACACCCAATTTTTAAACATTTAATTGCAGGAGTTGTTTTAAAGCTAATTTTGCTAGTGATGATGCCCCATATTGTGCACGGTGGCCACAAGTTCCACTCTACCATAGTTATGGAACACCTCAATTCTTGGTTGATAATGCTGATATTCAGAGACATGACTTACGGATCATCCACAATGGTGACATTTTCCGCTGGAACACCGAGGATCGCTGCACTCTGATACAGCTCACGTAGCCGGGTGTCGCCCTTCTTCTCAAAGTTACCTAGCAACAACAGAAACCCAATGCACATTTGGAAGGTGCATTATGTCACTGCTGTATTTTCTTACATCGATGTACATCTTGTTGTCAACATACAGTGTTGACAATCTCTGCATATTAAATCTGTGTGTTCTGTGTGTGTGTGTGTGTGTGTGTGTATGTGTCTGTGTGTGTATGTGTGTGTGTGTGTGTGTGAGTGTATGTGTCTGTGTGTGTATGTGTATGTGTATGTGTCTGTGTACCCCTGTGTGTGTGTGTGTGTGTGTGTGTGTGTGTGTGCATGTGTGTGAGTGTATGTGTCTGTGTGTGTATGTGTATGTGTACCCCTGTGTGTGTGTGTGTGTGTCTGTACATGTGTGTGTGTCTGTGAACCCTATAGGCACACAGAATGCCCCCCTCCCCCAATCATTCCGGGACATGAATTTTCCCTTCAGTGTTTAAAATTATTTCCAGACACGATCTGCGGTGTAAAACCCGGGCCCACCCGTGGAGAGGCACAGCAGGAAGACGTGGTGCCCAAGCCGTAGCGTCTCAAGGACGGTGGGCCCGAAGAACATGCACTCGTCGTCTGGATGCGCCGTCACGACCAGCACTCTCGCTCGGCACCCAGCTCGCTCTGCCGCCGAAGCAAAATTCTCGAACGGCCGGCGAACCCACAGGTAGAGGTACAGCACTACAGCAAGACCGAGGACGCACCCAACGATCAGCGACACAACCATGCTTCTTGAAAGCAAAATTCCGGCACAAATAAATGATTAAAACTTATTTTAGGCTCGAAACCTTGAAAAAGTGAAACCGGAAGCCACCATGTTTTTTTTTCAGAACTGTCGTAAAATACAGCAGAGGTCAAAGGTGAAGCTGCTGCCGCCGCAAAACGGGCTGGTTCGCCGATAACGACAGGTAAACAATCTCCTTGACGACTGGAAGGCGGGCGAGTTAAAGTGTCGTTTTCTCTGCGATTTTACCAGAAACTGGGTAAATATCACATTAGTTCAAAACTAGAAGGTCTTAACTTTATTTCTAGACTGTCAAACTGATGTATAAATGGACAGATTTTTGAGAAATCGTGATTAAAGTTTTTGTTGTGCGCTCAGATTGAAATCCAAGATGGCGGACGAAGAAAGTTCGGTCCCGGCCGAAGAGAAGATGGAGGCGACCCAGACGGCAGGGCCCGAGGGTGCGGCGGCCGAGGTGCCTCCAGCCGAAACCGAGGGACAACCCGAGCCCGAGGCCCCCGAGACAGGGGACCAGGGGCCTACAGAGGCCGCAGATGGTAGGTACACATGGGCCCGTTGGGGGAGGGGGGTCTTGTTTATAAAAAGACTAGCCGTGGACGACTCTGTAACCCTTTTTGCATGATAATGCCGGGTACATAGTCGTGGAAAGCACCATAGGCCAAAACCAACCTTTGCCGTGCCGGGCCTCATGCAACGGGCCGGCCCCGTTTTTTTGGTGTCGCTGGCTTCCTAACGCACTCCCCTGCCGGGCCGGGGGGATAAGACCCTAAACAAACGCAGCATTTAACCACAACACGGCCTCGGAGCACGTAACTCCATACAAATCATCGGCGATCGACGCCATATTGAATGCAGGAATCGGTCCGCAAAACAGGCCGGACCCTGAGTTTACGACAGTTATTTTCAACTCTCCAACGTTCAAGCTGCAGGTATGTGACGTAATTTGTCGTAAACTCAGGGTCCGGCCTGTTTTGCGGACCGATTCCTGCATTCAATATGGCGTCGATCGCCGATGATTTGTATGGAGTTACGTGCTCCGAGGCCGTGTTGTGGTTAAATGCTGCGTTTGTTTAGGGTCTTATCCCCCGGCCCGGCAGGGGAGTGCGTTAGGAAGCCAGCGACACCAAAAAACCGGGGCCGGCCCGTTGCATGAGGCCCGGCACGGCAAAGGTTGGTTTTGGCCTATGGTGCTTTCCACGACTATGTACCCGGCATTATCATGCAAAAAGGGTTACAGAGTCGTCCACGGCTATAAAAAGACATACATGTACTTTATAATGCATGATTTGTTGCCAGAGTTCTACGTAACTTCTAGTAGCCTTGGCAACGTCTTGTCATGATTTGTCATCGGCAGAAGACTGTGCATAAATTCTTGAACAATTTGTAGAAACCTGTGGAATTTTCTTAAAATTATAGATACATTTTACATATACATTAAGCTTCTCTAGGATCACATCAATAGTGGTTCAGTATCGACAGTGTGGTGTTGATTATCTACATCCCTTCATTTCAGGAGCTGAAAAAACAGAAGAAAAGCCCGAGGAGGAGAAACCAGAGCCTGAGCCAACAGAAACCGAGGGAACGAAAGAGGCACCAACAGAAGAAAAGCCTGTCCAGGAAGAAGGAGGAACGACAGAAGAAGAGAAACCACCAACCCCAGCAGCCGGCAGCCGACCTGCAAGTCAAGCCGAATCTGCTAGGGGGCAGAGCAAGCCTGCCACTCCAGCAGGCAGTAAAGCTGGGACTCCACAGGGCAGCAAACCCGGGACACCCAAGGGGAGCAGGCCCCCCACCCCTAAGGCCAGCAAGCCCCCCACCCCCACGGGGAGTCAGCAGGGCACCCCCCGGGCCGGGAGTAGGGAGGGTAGCGCACGGGCGAGTCCAGCAGGCGAGAAAGCAGGCAGTCGACAGGGCAGCGCAGGGAAGGAAAGACCAGGCTCAGGTAGTCTCTTATTCTATTACTTTTTATAGTACATCCAGTGCCACATATGCCACAATTTTGTCAGACACACAGACTGTTTTCGCTTGTTTTTGTTTTTCGATTTAGTGTTTGAGTCAGTACGTGTCATTTGTAGTCAGTGAGTGAGTTTTACACAGTGTTCTTCCTGGATTCATTATAATTATGAAATACAACAAATGATCATTAGTCAGTAAGAATTTTTACAATAATTGTGAGTAAATTGAGTAAACTACAGCTAAGTTAAAGATAGGAACTTTTAATTCTATGTAGAGCGTAGACGGGCCACTCTAATTCAATGTAGCTTAATCAAGAGGATTCCTTAATTCAGCTAATACGTAGCCATCTCTCAAAACTTAGCGTAGAGCATTGTCGGGGACCCCCCCATGCAGGCCCCCTCTAAGGCATGCAGAACCAGGTGGGAGGAGGCAGTTTTCTTACGTGAGAGCCCTATATATTACACGAAAGTAATAAAACTATTTGCCTTCTTCCCTAGGAAAAGAACGACCCACCAGTGGTACGGATCGGCCCCCAAGTGCAGGCAAAGACAGACCCAGTTCTGGTACTGCGAGGCCCCCTAGTGGAAGGAGCAGGAAGTCCAGCGCAGCCTCCCAGAAAAGTGCCCGGGCTGGTAGCGCTGGGGTGAGATTTAAATCCTCTCTTGAATTGCAGACTTTCTATATAAAAAGCCTGTATTGTTTTCTGTGGTGTGTTGGGGTTCTGCCATGTTAGATTTTATGCACTGTATTGTCTCCGAGTTTAAATGTGACGTCTTATTTCTGGTGTTAGACATTTAATTATTTTGCAGTGATTTGACTGTGTTAAAACTTTTCCTTCATGCATACAAGTTTATACACATGATGGAAAATTGCTGCTTATGTGAAAAAAATTATTATACTCTGGTTCACTACATAGTGGAAAATTATTCTGGACTTCAGAATACAATTGAAGCTCTTGATACTGTACTGGTACGTAGCATCTGTCTTCTTTGTCATGACCAGTGAAAGAGTAGATCAGTACATCAACTGGTTCCAAATCATTTAAATGCACTTTCAACGTACAACTTGTGCTTAAACTAAAAAATGTATCTTTCCTTTCTTCTCTGCCCTTACAGAAACCTCCCAGTGGTAAGGCCAGCCCCGTTGCCCCCGGCGACCAGAGTGTGGCAGATACCAAACCCCCCACGGTGGGGGGGAGGCAAACCCCAGTCTCCCGCAAGTCGGAAACATCGGAGGAGCCCATCCCCATTGATGCATTGGTATGTTCCAATATGTCTTTTCCCCAATATACAAATGTGGCATGTTGTTACCACACTGTGTAATGCATTGGGTGCACAGCTCCAAATTTGGGTGCACTTAAAAGGTGCACATGGCATCGAGTATTTCGAGCCCTGGTATCTGAATGTTGTACCATTTTCCCTAGAACATGGTGTGGTCGTTTGGCCTGAACAAGCGGGTTCCAGCGATCAACATGACAGATGAGCAGCGGAGACTGGTCCTGTACACGTGTGCTCACACCGCAGTTCTGTACGACTACAGCAGCAACACGCAGAAGCTACTCCAGGGACATGTAAGTACGGTCTCACACCGCAGTTCTGTTCCCCCAGTGTAACATGATCTCTAGCACCTGTGTAACATTATACCCCCGTTTCCCCCAGTGTAACATGATCTCCAGCACCAGTGTAACATGATACCCCTGTTCCCCCAGTGTAACATGATACCCCTGTCCCCCTAGTGTAACATGATACCCCTGTCCCCCCAGTGTAACATGATACCCCTGTCCCCCCAGTGTAACATGATATCCAGCACCTGTGTAACATGATACCCCTGTCCCCTAGTGTAACATGATACCCCTGTTCCCTAGTGTAACATGATCTCCAGCACCTGTGTAACATGATACCCCTGTTCCCCAGTGTAACATGATACCCCTGTCCCCCTAGTGTAACATGATACCCCTGTCCCCCCAGTGTAACATGATATCCAGCACCTGTGTAACATGATACCCCTGTCCCCTAGTGTAACATGATACCCCTGTTCCCCAGTGTAACATGATATCCAGCACCTGTGTAACATGATACCCCTGTCCCCTAGTGTAACATGATACCCCTGTTCCCCAGTGTAACATGATCTCCAGTACCTGTGTAACATGATACCCCTGTTCCCCAGTGTAACATGATCTCCAGTACGTGTGTGAGTGAGGACAGACGTTGGATCGCCACAGCAGACAGTGGACAGGACAGCATGGTCATCGTGTGGGACTCGTACTCATGGTAACTCGATATCTTTGTGGTAACACAATACCATATAGTGTAATGCAATACCTCTATCATTTCTCCATGTCAGGCCCTGAGAAAAAGTTTTGGAAGCTGTAGTAGTAATGCTAACTTATAACTTGAAAGGTAACATTTGCAAAGCAAAATGCATTAAATTTTTAACTTTGCATATGGACTGCTCTGTTACATTTTGTAAGTCTTACTCAAACACATCCATATGCTAGACGTAAGTGTATTGTGACAGGAGTCTAAATCCACCCTGCTACATGTATAAAATTGCAACATCATGTACATGTAACCCAACTCTAGTTACCATGGTGACAGACGTTTGATTCAGGTCGTTGACCTACATGTAATTTGTTTGGAGAAGAAGAAACAGAGCATTTTATTGGTAAAAATAATAACAGTTAATCTATATACTATTAAAAGGATGTCAGTCCAAATCACCCGACAACACTGACCAATCTTGTTGCTTCCTCCTGCCCACAGCATCCCGGTCCAGACCTTGTTTGACCCCCACGTGGGGGGCGTGACTACCATGGCGATGACCCCTGACGCTAAGTACCTGGTGACAGTGAGCGCTGCCCAGACACAGGTGAGCAACTTTCTACCACCTACAGTCATGACCACAATGTACATCATTCTATACTAGATTATATTATGAAGCAAATTTAAACTCCAATTTCCAACACAACAAATTGGACTCACCCAAAGTTTTGACTGTATAACTCCAGTCTTTGTCAAAGAATGAAGGAATCTGATATTAGATGATAGTTGTATGTTAGTTTCATTCTAGCCAATTGTTGGTTTCGAAATAGAGATTGTAGGGGTTTACTTTTAGCTTATTTTATTTGAACTTTTGCAAATTTAGCTTATGTGTAAGAATTTGTGCTCCACATGTTATAAAACTCATGAAATAGACACAGTCACAATTATCCATCAAGCCCTCAGGCTCACACAAATCTTTCATTGCCAAAAAGCAGTTACTCAAGCAACTGGATATGATTTTGGAACGTCAGACGTTTCGGCTAGTATCCACTAGCTTTCGTCAGTGACAGACTGGAAGACTGAAGAAATGCAGGTTTATATGTACAAACTATTGATTGATATGTAAATAGCATGAAGACAATCAATCATATCAATCAATAGTTTGTACATATAAACCTGCATTTCTTCAGGCTTTTTTCAGTCACTGACGAAAGCTAGTGGATACTAGCTGAAACGTCTGACGTTCCAAAATCATATCCAGTTGCTTGAGTAACTGCTTTTTTTGTGTATCTTATTACCTGGATGTCTAACCTTCATCGACAAATCTTTCATTGGTTCGCTGTTTGCAGACGGTAGCGATCTGGGACTGGACCACGGAGTCTGAAGGGCCGATCTGCCAGGCTGAGTTGGACCCGGCGTTCGGACACCAGAGCTACATCCTCTTCAACCCTGAGGACCCCACCGAGCTGGTCAGCAACTCCGAGTCACAGGTCGTCTTCTACTCATGGGTGAGTCAAAGGTCACAGGTCATCTACTCAGGGATAAGTCAAAGATCACATGTCATCCTTTGCTCAACCAAGTAGGCCATCTTTTACGTGTACATGACTTGTACGTCTTCTACTCCACTCATGCGTAAGTGAAAGGTAACAGGTCATCTTCTACTCATGGGTAAGTCAAAGGTCACAGGTCATCTCATTTGTGTCAAAGGTCACAGGCTATCTTCTATGCAGGGGTTACAATGAAGAACAGTGTGATGCTGACATGTATGTTGTTGTGGTTGTGTGTTGCAGAAGGGGGGGAATCTGGAGTACTACGCACCGGAGCTGGATGACACCGTGAGTAGAGTCTGACACAACTCTCAAACTATTCAAACTTAAAAATAACTTTTGAGAGAATTTTTCTTACCTTACTCAAATTGTAAGGTACCATTCTGACAATAAACCAACATCGATGTACATGATTGTATACATACCTACCTTGGTTCTTCCCCAGACGTTTAACCGTGCGGTGGGTCAGTACAGTCAGTCCATCTTCCAGTCCAACTTCGGCACGCGTGCCTTCACAGCCACCAGTGTGGGAAACATCGTGGTGTGGGATAGCAAGAGGCCCAGCTCTGAAGGTACTCTACATTTACTTAGTGTATTTTTACTTTCATATGCAACCATTGTTAATGTATATTTACTCATTTCATGGCCAAATTTTAGAGTTTAGTTGATGTCATTTATATGGCTAAAATACATGACAGAAGACACTGAATTGCGCACTTTAGGACACTATGCTACATTTGTACGAAGGATAGCTGAAGTATACAACAAATTGTATGCTAGCTGAATAAAAATGACAATACCATACTTTTTTTATCCTTACAGACTGTTGCTCTCAATTGTTGATTTACATAAAACTTTTTTTTTGTGCCTGTGTAGCCCCTGCCAACAGTAACGATGCCACGAAGAAGGCCCTGAAGCTGGTCAGACTGCAGGACCGAGCGATCACCGTTCTCACAACCACTGACAGGTCAGTCTGACAGGTCTGACATGTTTACAGCCTTCTCAGCTCATGAGAAATGTCTCTAATCTTGTCTGTTCCTAGGCTTCATAATTACCTCCATGAAATGTGTCATGGAGGTTATATTTTCAGTTGCGTTTATCTGTCCGTCCTTCCGTCTGTTGGTCAACAAGATAACTCAAAAACGCCTGGATGGATGGGTTTCATACTTGGTGTGTTGGTAGGGTGTGACGAAAACTGGAAATGATGAGATTTTGGTCCCCATAGTGGCTTCCCTTGGTACTGCAGCGCAACTTCCGGTTTTGATATCTCACGATCTGGACATGCTAGGGTCATGAAATTTTGATGGAAGGTAGCTCCCGTGCTTGGGAAGAAGTCATATGAGTTTGGGCCCCCTAGCGGCTTGTTCTGGAACTGCAGGGCACTTTCTGGCGAAATGTTTAAAAGCCAATAAGTCCAGACAGGAACAACATATTTTCATTATTTTTGGTGTGTAGGTAGCTGAGAGAGAGATGTACATAATTAAATGAAAATTATGCCAATGAGGACTGTATTTGCATAATTAATGAGGAAATTCTATAATTACAGTGTTTTACATTATACTATGTAACCTATGGCAGGCGGAACTTCAACAGATACTAATTATGCAAATGATGACCTAATTTGCATAATTAATGTGAAAATTCTATGATTTCGTAATGGTGAATGATGAGAATGTCATACTTGGGACATCTGTAAATTAATCAAAAGTTAACATACATCACGATGCATATATCATGTTAATGCAGAGGTCATTTGATTCAATTAAAGAAGAAATTTACATTTACATATCAAGATCATATTTCATGGAGGTATGAGATCTCGGAATTCTAGTTATATAGTCTCATTGTTTGACTATTGGGGCACCACAGATGATCTGACAAACACTGAACAGTTTTTAACTTTACTTTATTCATCAAAAACATTGTTGCAGGCTGAAACAGCCTGAATTGTGTTGTAATTTACATGTACATTCTCTTCAACACAATCAGACCTTAGGGACTGATGTTGGGAGAACTTGGCAAGCAAACGATGACCTTTTCCCCTTTGCTCTGACCTATGACAGGTACATCGTGACCGGCGACGTGATGGGGCACGTGAAGTTCTACGACGACCAGCTGACTATGATCAACTGGTACAGCGACTTTGACCTTGGGCCGGTCAATGCTCTGTCCTTCATGTATATGCCTGAGTTCAGCACCGAGTGAGTATCGACCCACCGGAGATGGTTTCCTTTCTTTGTACTTTTGAAATCCAAAATAATTATTTTAATTATTCTATTAGCAAAAATCTTTATATACAATAATACGAAGTCCAACAAAGTGAATTTTGAATCCTTTCTTCCATGTATAAATTTCTTTTAAAAAGTTGAATACTATTATATTACTGCTAGAAAAGGAAAAGTGGAAAAACATCTGGGAAAATGGGGCTCTCTTGGTGATTAGTACTGTTGTGGTAAACTTTTAGTATGGCTACTTTTGTCTTTTTCTTTGTTTGACTGTTGACCTTATTTGTTTATATTTCTTGAGATGACAAATTTGGTGTTGATTTGTAACTGGGTGGTTCCCACTTTATGTTATTTCTTTGTTATTAACCCAAATAAAAAAAATTCTCAAATACATTGTAGAAACTGTTAGAGTAAGTATTCCATGGGGGTATGGCTGTGAGATGTTTGATCTGTTGGTCCCCCCCCAGTGTTGCTGAGAGTAGTGGGTTCCCGCCTGACGCCACCATCGCCGCCAGCAAGTTTGTTGTGAAGGACTTCATCGTCGGCACGGCAACAGCGGTCATGGGTCACGTCAGGGCGGATGGAACCATTCTGGATGTAAGCACGGGGGTGGAGGGACTTTTTTTTTACAAGGGAGGGAGGGAGAGGAAAATTTGAGGAATGTGTTGAGTGGGAAACCAGTTTTTTTTGTGTGTTTACCTGAAATTTGACTTGTGACGCTGGTATAACATCTGTGTACATAATATCACCAGGGTACATAATATCGCCACCTTGAGAAACAGTGTGCTTAAAGACATTTTTTACTGCAACATACTTTAGGTATGCACTCCTTCATACCTCAAATGTAGGACCTTGCAGTAAAAATCTCTTTAAAATTTAGATAGTACTTATACTGTTTCTCAAGGTGGCGATATTATGTACCCTGGTGATATTATGTACACAGATGTTACATACTTAGGCATTGCTACAATGTTACATGTAAAATGTTACAATGTTACATGTAAAATGTTACAACATTAATGACTCTCAAAGACCATTAGTACTACTGTGACAACAAGCGGTTACAGTACAACAATTGTTGCAAAATGGCCACAGTTGTGTGTAACAAATTTCTATCCCCTTTTCTGCCTCATCCATGGCTACCCAGGAGTGCTTTTTCACTCACAAGGTAAAGTCTCCAGCCACTATACAGTAGAAATGTGGCAATGTGTGTTTTCTTGGGTGGGTATGACATTTGGGTGGGTATGACATTTCAGCTAGTATTCACTAGCTTTCGTCAGTAACTGAGAGACCAGAGGAGAAATGCAGGTTTATAAGCACAAAGATAGGGAATACACCGTGTTGTGTTGTACATGTGTGTCCCAGGTGTTGAATCTGACGTGAGCTTGTGTTTCCCACCTGTACAGGTGATACTGCTGGAGCATGATGCAGCTGTCCATGCCATTTGTACCCACCCTACAGAGTAAGTCTCATCACCGCATTAAGTCCTCCCCGCAACCCTTAATTTAAACCTTGGTCGCATATGGCTGTGTGGCCCTTGGGCAGCTAGGGGGCTAGTCCACTGGTAGTGGTGTGTGTTTAACTCCCATACTCCTTCTTAAATGCAAAGTGCTCAAAGCAGAGAAATCAGTAAGTACAATTTTTTAAATCGTTACGTTTTAGACGTTCAGATTTTGTTGAACTGGTTCCTTACTGCGTGCCGCATGACCAGCAAGGCTCAAACAGCAGCATTTCACAACAGTTCAGGCATCTGGCAGTGAACTGTATAACTGCATGTTTGAAATGTGCTTGGACCATGGTGTATTGTAACATTTTTGTAATCTGTATCTGTATCTGTATAGCCGGTAAAACCACCTTTTGGTGTAGCACACCAGATTCACAGGCACGTGGCGCGGCGGCAGCTGGTTAAATTACACCAATCGACTTGTTACATCTAATATTATAACTCTGGAACATCTATCTCTAGACTTTGTTTAAAGCTATCTATTGACAATGCCCCTACTGTTCTTGGTGACAGCGAGTTCCACTCTGCGATAGTTCTAGGAAAGAATGAATTGATTTCTTGAACACCTCAATCCTTGGTTGATAACTCTGGTACTTAAAGGCATGGCTATTTCTTGTTCCTGTATCCTGTAATAAATGACTCCCATCCCACCCAGGCCCAGACTGTGTATGGGCAGCTACTCCGGCCTGCTGAAGATTTGGGACTACGAGCGGAAGGAGGTCCTTGTGTCTCGGCAATTCGAACGTGGTAACATGATACGCTGTGTGGCCTTTGACCCCACCGGACTGATACTAGGTGAGTTTAGCTTGTTGTTGTGTTTTTTAATTGATTATTTATTTATTTATTTCAACACCAAAAAGCAAACCTTGCAGCAGGGATGAAATCCCTGAACTGGAAGAGTTTGCGTACAGAAAAAAAAGTTACTTTCATCAATAATAGAGGACAATCAATATAATACAATCCCTCATATACACTTATCTCTATAATACATAAAAAAATTTGTACCAAGCAAAAAAAAACTATATACAGATGAGGTTTAGGAAAGATAAAACTAGTGATGTGACAGTTCTTTGTTATAGCCCTATTTTTCATGTTTTATCATGTTTAGGCCACGCCGACTTAATTTTATGGATGACATCCTCTGAAGACCCCCAAACTAGTGCGCGCGGGCGAATAAAAAAAATTCTGGCAAAAAATAAAAGCTGGTATTGTCAATTTCATTTGGTGCATGCAAAAAAAAATTGTGCCCAGTTTTTTTAGGTTGGGTGTACCATGTATTATTTAGTGAAATTCGTTGAGTTAAAATTTTACATTAACTCAAAGACTGGAGGCACAGTTGTAAGGCTGATTTGAGTCAGTCTACAGGAAACTTGCTTTTCACAACAGCAGGGAAAGTTCATTATATGCGTGCGTCAGTAGCCTATCCAAGTATGCCTGTAGGGAGACCTGTCTTCCTGATTTAATTATGCAGTGGAAAATAACCGCCATAAGGCCAAACTGACTTAATTTCATGGATGACATCCTCTGAAGACCCCCAAACTAGTGCGCGCGGGCGAATAAAAAAAGATTCCAGCCAAAAATACAAAATGATACTAAACCACAGGAATACAGAGCTGGTATAATAATTATTGTGAATTTGTGGCAGTACTTAACGACGTATACAACAAGCCGGCACATGCATGTGCACCTTAGTGCCAGTGGAGTGGTTGATGAAGTCCTAGCCTGGGGCTTTCCTTCAAAAGGAGAGATATTTTTAACAGCCTCATCCTGTGTGTATATCAGTGTTGTTATTACATGTAAGCTACTTCGTGACAACACGTTTTCCTTTTGAGTACTGCAGGTCCTATCTGCATTGTTGAAATGTTAGGGATTTACTGAATGAGATGAAGAGTAAATTGAATCTTTTGTTGCGGCAGCAGCAGTGATATGCTGCCGACATATTATGAAAGCAATTTAATATCAGTTAGAATTCTAGTCTCTCCAATATGCATATTATCAAGGCTTGTCCCTGAAATGTAGTCAGTGAATATATAAGGCTGTATAGGGGCAGAGGATTCAATAATTATTTCATGGATGACATCCTCTGAAGACCCCCAAACTAGTGCGCGCGGGCGAATAAAAAAAGATTCCAGCCAAAAATACAAAATGATACTAAACCACAGGAATACAGAGCTGGTATAATAATTATTGTGAATTTGTGGCAGTACTTAACGACGTATACAACAAGCCGGCACATGCATGTGCACCTTAGTGCACCCAAATTTGGAGCTGTGCACCCAAATTTTTTCTGTGGGTGCACTGGGCGAAAAATAGAAAATAAAAACAGGACTAGTCTAGGCATCCTATTATGACCCAAAATGGTATGATAGGAGCCATGAAGTCAACACACCAGGCTGATTCAAAATTCAAACAATGAATTTTGAACTTTTAATGATACCACTGCATTGAAAGATGGAATAACTGTAATGACTAGGAAGAAAAGGACTGTTTTCAACTGTTCAGGGCAAAATATGAGCATTTTGCAGTAGTTGATTCTGAATTTTTTTTTTTTTTACAAATCAGAAAATGAAGCAGGCAAATCCGTTAACCAAGAAATTAAACTGGTGTGGCCTTATGTTGTCAGCAATGTAACTGTTTACAACACAATTCGGGGATCGAACTAAATATTCTAAGGGTGTGCAGCCTCGAATGGAAACGTGAAATAAACTGTGGTTAGTCCCCTCAGCTATCCATTAAATACGCAGACTGAAGAATACTGTAATTCCTGATTTTTTTCCCCTGTACTGTAACAGACTTATATTCACTGTTTTCACTGTCACTTCTGTACCGTGGACTTACCATTACAGTAATACATAACAATAATTTCTGCACTAAGTATTCCTTTTTCCTGCACCTGTCGCCTGACAGTGAATATAATAGTTCTGTGAACATGTCCATTTTTCTCAGACCGTAAACTTTTGCTACCGTGAACATAAAGTGAATTACAGTAACTGTATTCAATTTGCTGCCAGTGGAGTGGTTGATGAAGTCCTAGCCTGGGGCTTTCCTTCAAAAGGAGAGATATTTTTAACAGCCTCATCCTGTGTGTATATCAGTGTTGTTATTACATGTAAGCTACTTCGTGACAACACGTTTTCCTTTTATATTATATGTCATTGAGTACTGCAGGTCCTATTTGCATTGTTGAAATGTTAGGGATTTACTGAATGAGATGAAGAGTAAATTGAATCTTTTGTTGCGGCAGCAGCAGTGATATGCTGCCGACATATTATGAAACCAATTTAATATCAGTTAGAATTCTAGTCTTTCCAATATGCATACTATCAAGACTTGTCCCTGAAATGTAGTCAGTGAATATATAAGGCTGTATAGGGGCAGAGGATTCAATAATTATTGTGTTTAGGGCACGGTATTGGAAGATGGAGCCCATCCCTCCCCTTCCACTGCCTTTTACCTCCCCAACTGAAGTCAGGTACCCATTTTACAAGTAGGTGGATTGAGGAAAGCTGTACAAAGTGCCTATCACAAGGACTCTAGGAGGGCCTGCAAGGGGGGTCCTGACAACGCTCTACGCTGAATTCGGAAACCTCTCGATTACGCTTTACGATAAATTCCATGTGGCCACAACGCATTACGTAGAATTAAAACGGCGAATACGCTCTGCGCAAAATGCACCAATTACACTCTACGTTGAATTGGCGGTCCGTCTACGCTCTACGGAAAAGGGCTTGCGGGCCCCCCTCTAGGTTAAGCCATGCGGGAATGGTGGGGATCAAACCGCTGACCTCTCTGCCCAATTGATCCATAGAACAACTGTGACCTGCTAAAGCTCCCAAATTTTGAAGTTGGACTTGGCTTCTGATGTAATTGATATTTCTGGACAGGGCTAAATCAGTAAATGTAATATAAAATTCCATTTAATCTAAACTACTAGTATAATCAGAATAATTAATACCTAATTAACACCATAATTAAAAACAATGAGTTTGAGCCATTCAAGTTTCATATCCTTCTATGATAATATTTAATGTGACACAAGTGCAAATTACATCTTAATGTGTTGAGCATCATTCTAGTATATAATATACATTCAGGACACTGTGCATATTTTTACTATGCCATGCATATGATCTAAGCCTACTCTAAACTACATATAATTTTATGCACTACATAATTATCATAATGATTTTATACACTGCATAATACATTTCTAATTTCATACACTACATATAATTTTATACAGTATCTGCTTTTGTTAAGCTCTTCCAACACAGCACAACTGGGATACAATAACATTAAAATTTTGTAAGTTACAAGCTGCTAACTTAAAGCACAATTACTCAGTATGCACCTCATTGTTATCACAGTCACAGTAAAATCATGAAATACACAGTGTACTAAAATGCCATTCTTGCCCCTGATGCAGGGTGGACATCTGGCATTTTGTTGTTTTTGTGTTTGTGAAAAGTTTCTGAATCGCGCTTTACACAGTTCAGTCTATTTCCACAATTGTTGGCAGGACGACCTCTCTGCCTCTTGAAGGCTTGTACGGTACTCGCGTCCTGCGGTGTGTATGGATTTGACGTTTTTTCGCGGCAGACTGTTCATCTGGAGCCAGACGCGGTGTGTCTTGTCCCTCGGCTTGGGCAGGACCTTCCTGACGGTTTCCTACCGCAGACTGTTGATCTGGAGCCAGACGCGGTGTGTTTTGTCCCGCTCCGCATGCAGGGCCTTCCTGACGGTTTCCTACGGCAGACTGTTCATCTGGAGCCAGACGCGGTGTGTCTTGTCGCTCTGCTTGGGCAGGGCCGACCTGTATCATTGGGATGTCTCCTGCTCCAGCCTGGTCTTGCTGTGGGTCCGCGCGGTTTCCCCGTATGGTGGTGACAAGTGTCTGGTAGACGCCCGTCAGTTTTTGCCAGATTGCGTTCCTTAAGTCCGGCATGCGGATGAGTGTTGCTACGGGGTTGATGAGTGAGTTCAGACATAGCCCCACAACTACATATACTCTGTAACTATTAGGGCAAACATCTGGGAGACTTTTGCAGACTGCATAGAGCACGAAGGGTACCAGCCAGCAGACGAATGCCACCACTACATGAATCATCACAGTCCTTGCCTTGTACACCCTCTCTTCGTATCTCCTCTGCGCCTCCTCTTGCGCGGCGTTGTTTTGCCCGGGTCCTTGTGCCTGGGGGCCCCCTGCAGCTGCCTGCTCGAGCCTTCTCTTTTCTCGTCGTCTGATTGTCACGTACACGCTGATGTTTGTGAACAGCATGCCGATGCACAGCAAGAGCAGTATGGATGTAGACATGATGACAAAGGACAGGGGGTACCATCCCAGGCAGATCCCCGATGTGAGGTTTTCCATATAGAGACAATTCAAGCCCATGTTAGGTGAGAAGGCAACCACTGTGCAAACAATCCATGAAATACTCAGACCTACAGCTGCGTACAGTTTGGCACTGCCAGCATGGTTGTGGAAGATTACAGGATACATTACAGCAACATAGGCATTGATAGACAACAGAGCTAGAGCTGATGCTGAAATCATCTGACTAAATATGATTAAGCTGATATGAGCTAACATGAAGTCATACGTTACATTGTGTCCGGCAAGATGGCCTGTGCGGCACAGAAGTCCGATGCCTGCGAACACATCTGTGACTGCCAGATTTGCCAGAAAGATGTAGATGGACGTTTGGAGTCTCGTTCCTATGATTGCCAGAAGTACAACATTAAGCATGATAATGAGAAGTCCCATCAGCCAGTAGACAACGTCCAACCCTGTTGGCGACCTGTCAGGGTACTCATGCATGGAGCAGGCTTCGTGGACTTGATCTAGGGACACATTGTTCTGTAAATGCCATCTGTAGCAGGACACCAAGTTTCTGAAATCGGCAGCGGATGTCTCTGTGGGCACCCACGGGTCGGAGCTGTTGTTAAACATGCTGAGGTTGCTTCTAGTCATCCGCAGTCTCAGGCAGGGAGTGGGGAGGTTCCCAAGTTCAGTGGACGGCTCTGCTGCACCGGTTGGCTTGTTTGTCTGGACGAGAGACGGCTCCGGCAAAATTCTGCAGCTACCTGCACCTCGCCGCAACAGGTTTGGCTCTGGGCGGAAGCGCAGAACGTCACGACTGCGCTTGCTCAGTGCGACTTGCGTAAGCTGTTACCACGAGCAACACAGGATGTTGACGTGCGCAATATCGTGTGTCTTGAAAAGAGTTCATGACACTGGACAACACTGCTACAGACATAATTGCTTTATCAGCAGGTTATCTATTTAATATGCAGAGATTTGATGTCTTCGGCTATATATAATATAGGACCGGTGGCTTGTAATACCTTCAAAAGGACTATTTCCTTGTGTAGTCCTCGGTTATGCCTCGTTGTATGTGTTTGGACAGAAAATTCTTTTGATGACATGGTTTGCAGATACTTTGATGAAATTTTTCATTTTATTTCGCTTGATTGGTTCTTACTGTTGCCTTGCGGCAGTGCAGGAAGTTTACGTGTGTGTCTTGAAAAGAATTAATGGCTTCAAATTCCTAACATGTTGGGCCACTGCAGTGACGTCTTAATTGCTTTTATTTAGTAGCAGGTTGTCTATTGATGCTATAAGGTTGATACTCCCTTCCTACCAACCCTAATTTTTTCAGGACTGAAGCTAGGAAACACAGCTGTTACAATAAATTCACATTTTTTCCTAGGCCTGAAAGAAATATGAGTAATGATATCATCCTTAATGCTTCTTTTCAAAGGGGTACTAGTATATTGGTTACTTACAGTTCTTTGTTTGTCACATATAATTTTCTGAGTGGCTTTAAAAATCTTTTAGTACTTATCTTTTTTGTCATAGTTACATGTTGGGTTCGATTGTTACATGTATGACTTTTTTGCGCATAATGTAGCATTTACTTGTATATCAGTACTTGTCCTTTATATCTATCATTCTGTTTGTTTTGTGAAACTGGTGCCCAGCAGGTGTGTATATGTAACAGTTTCCTCCCCTTGTTTATTCAGCGGCAGGATTCATGGACGGAAGCGTGCGCGTGCTCGACGCTCTCACGCTGGACGACGAGGTTAGCGAACCGTTCCGTTACGCCCGAGACTCGGTCACCCATTGCTGTTTCTCTCACGACTCCAACTTCCTCGCAACAGCGGTAAGCCATTTGTTTGTTTGTTTGTTTGTTTATATTATGTCTTTACCTTCCAAGAAGGAATTTTTTTTGTTTTTTGTGCTGCTCTGTTACGCTTGAGACTGCAAAAAATTTTTGTGCAGTCCTAATTTTTTAAGTCGGGTGCACCAGTGCACCTACAATGTATTCCCAAAAATGAATTTCAAGCCCAGCCAATTGTTATACAACAATAAACCGATGCTGTAGTATGTTTGGGCTTAAGACCATGAGATATTTTATTATTGGTGCCATTCCAAACTCCCCTGTTGCATTCTGCTTCGTTCCCGGATGGACTTCAGATCTGCTTTTAATCCACCGGTGATAAACCTGAAAGTTTGGAAAAGTTTTTTAAAGTGTTAGCTGGTGTGTAGGTGTTATACGGACGTCATGTCGCCATGGCAACGAGGAAAACCTTGTAATCACAGGATATGAGGCAGTTAAAAATATCTCCCAATTCGAGGAAAAGCCCCAGGGGACCTACATGTACATGTATAATGGACCTTTTCACTTGAAGTGAATTGACAGGTAGCTCTAATTGACATCTGGCGGGTGGTCCTTTGAAGGAGAAATGAAGCAATTAAAGACTGGCGATTAGGTGTACATGGGAGCCTGAGGCATCAAGCCTCTTGATACTGTAATTCACTTTATGTTCACGGTAGCAAAAGGTTAAGCAAAAGGACATGTGCACAGAACTACATTATTGTATATATTCACGGTGGCCACAGGTGCAGGAAAAAGAAAGTGCAGGAATTATTTGTTAACTGTAATGTTAAGTTCACGGTACAGAAGTGACAGTGAAAGCAGTAAACATAACCGTTACAGTAGAGTGAAAAAGTCAGGAATTACAGTACCCTGCGGCTCTGGCTATTACATGTTCCAGTACATTAAATAATGCAGTTTTGAAACCTTTGACTTCAAGGGTGACTAACTTGCACTAACTGTTGTACAGTACTACACTGTACGTTATGTAAAAATATGGGCATTTGGAGCCTGAAATAAACAATAAATATAAGATGAAATAAAATAAAATAAAAAATTAATGTATTTCATCATATAAACATGAATATTTAATATGTTTACTGCAGGAAAACATATTGTTTTTGCTCAGTCTCTTCTTCTTCTTCCATTCCAAACACGGACCTCTGACCTGGCCAATGACCTGATTTATTGATGTCTGTCACCATGGTAACTGGTGTTGGGTTTCAATTTTATAGCGACTCCTTTATGGAGACTCCTGTCACCATGTATTATATGAAATTGTGAAGAATTAACAGAGCAGACCATACATGTATGTGAAGGTAAACATTATGCATTTGCTTTGCAAATGTTACTTTTCTAGTTTGATGTTGTGTGATTCTATACTTGTTCACCCAGGACGCAGACTTCACGGTGTCGGTGTTCCGGACGGGCAGGGGTGCGGAGGAGGAAGCCTGGGTGTACCTGGGTCGTCACCGGGCCCACTACAAACTCATCGAGTCCCTCATGTTTGGCATGGAGCTGGACACCAACCAACCCCGGCTGCTCTCCCTGGGCAGGGACAGGGTCATGGTGAGTACACCCACGTGGGTCATATAGGCTGGGTTCACATCGTAGGGACAGGGTCATGGTGAGTACACCCACGTGAGCTTTATGATGTCATGTCCAACATCTGAAGAAAACAGACAAAAGTTGATGCAATCCATAGCTTCCAAAACGAATGTTTTGCTACCTCACTCAAAATCAGACATCTTTAATATACTCCTTTCATGTCCTACTCAGATATTAGTGTACGTTGGAAAATTCATTTATGAATCACTACAAAAGTGACACCATATTGTAAATAGCTGACATATTCCCTGAATTACAAAATGTAATTACTCTTCCTAAGAAAACACAATAGATTAGCTTTAGGCCACACCAATTTAATTTGTTGGTTCTCGGATTTTTTCAGAAAAAATATGAAGCGACAGGGCGAAAACAAATAAAAATAAAAACAGGTCTAGGCATCCTATTATAGCCCCAAATGCTACAATATGAGCCATGAAGTCAACAAAAAAGGCCGGGTTAAAATTTAAAGTATAAATTTTGAACTTTTAATCAAACCACTGCATTGATAGATGGAAAAAACTGTAACAACTAGGAAGAAAAGGAATTTCCTCAACTGTTGGGGGCAAAATATGAGCATTTTTGAGTTGATTCTTAACCAGAATCTTTTTTTTTTTTTTTGCAAATCAGAAAAAAATGAAGAGGCGAATCCGAGAACCAACAAATTAAATTGGTGTGGCCTTAGTATCATTATGGACTAGCCCGCTAGAATCATATTGTAGTATTAGTTAACTTGTGTATGTACCATTGTTGTTTCTTTGCCATACATTGTACCAGCTACAATTGTTGAGCAATAAAGTTGATTTGATTTGGTTTGCTAATAGCACTGGCTGATTACAGGGTTTAGATGCTTCCATAGTACATAATGCGTAATCATAGTAAAAAAAACATGTATATCTGCACCTATCAGATAGAATAGAAAAGAAATTTGAAAAAAAGAAGATGAGTTCTGTATAGCCTGGCTACAAAACCTATGATATCTGCCTGTTACTTGTCTCGACAAAAGAAATAAATTAAGGTTTGGTGACCAGGCTATAAATTCTCTGTACCTCTCCTGTCACTTTCGTACGATGTCTCCAGGTTGAGCTGATCTTTTCAGCTAAGACATTTACACACCCACATTATATATACTCACTTATTAAGTACCTCTAGTTCTATGCCTAGAAGTGGTCAAAAATAATTGACCTTGCACTGAGCGACTAGCCTGGGTGCCATCCGATTTGTATAATGGCTACCTCGAAAAATATAACAATTCAGCTGCACCCAGGCTACTGAGCGACACCGTTAAAATTAGTCTTATTTTAAAACTTTCAATTTCTTAAATTCCTTCCCATCTCCCCCCCCCCCCAGGTCGAGTACGACCTTGGGAACAGCAGTAAGGATGACCTTCGGCTGTTGAGCCAGGACCGGATCGAGCAGTCGGCGGTGCCGGCCTGCATGGCCTGGTACCCGCCTGTCACCAAGGAAAGCTTTATCATCACCGCTAACAGCCAGTACAAGCTGAAGCTGTACAACACCACCACCAAAATGTGTCGCAAGACACTGCTGGGGCCAACCTACGGGGCACCAGTGCAAAAGTGGGTTTGTTTGTTTGTTTGTTTTCAAAATAATTTTTAAAAAAAACCTAGAAGAGTTTCATCAGCTCTCAGTACAAACTTAAGCTGTACAACACCACCACCAAAATGTGTCGCAAGACACTGCTGGGGCCAACCTACGGGGCACCAGTGCAAAAGTGGGTTTGTTTGTTTGTTTGTTTGTTTGTTTGTTTGAACAACAAAAATGAGACACGCCTACAGGCGTCTGGGGGTTTGTTTATTTGCACAGCAGAATAAAGACTCACCTATGGACTCCGGTACAGAAGTGGATTTGGCTTGTTTGTTTATTTATTTATTTGGTTATTTGCACTACCAAAGCAAGACCTACATGTACCTATGGGGCTCCATTGCAGGAGTGGGTTTGGTTTCTTTGTTGGTTTGCACAAAAAAACAAATTAGACCAACCTATGGGGCACCCGAGTGTGCAGAAGTCAGGTCTTCTTTTGTTTGTTTGGTTATTTGTATCATACAACATAGTTCCCTAAGGTGCACTTGAAAAGTTGATTCAAATTGGCAGAACGAGTACTAGTGAGAGTTCTTCTGAGCTTGATATATATAGAATACAACACGGGGTATTCCGTATCGCCCGAGGTACCAGCCCGACCGCGCGTCGGATCGCCCGACGGCCGAAGGCCGGAGGGAGATCCGATCCGCGGGAGGGCTGGGACCGAGGGTGATGCGGAATACACCGTGTTGTATTTTATTTATGTCATACCCACCCAAGAAAACACGCCTTTCAATGCGAAATGAGCGAAAATTTGGTGCCCCTAAACCCAAAAATGCAACAACGTCAATTCCAACGTCCGAATTTTGTATTCGAAATTCGAAAGCGGTGCACGCGGTTAGGCCGAAACGTGCTCTAACTATTCTATGGAACATTTGGAAGGCCCGGGCCGTACGCGTAAAGAACCCCCGGGCAGTACCGCTAGTTATCACACGGGCCGGAACACCCGTATCGAACGTAATCGCGGCCCAGGTAGGACATAAAATATTGTACCTTGCCTTCCCTGTCCAGAGTTGCTGTCCTCCCCACCACTGGTTCCCCCATCGAGTACAGACACCTGGCCTACATCACCACCGACAAGGTAGGCAAACATCTGACCTTCAATTTGGCACTTGACCTTGAGACTTGTCCCTCCAGACGTCAAATAAAAAGTCAGGACGTGATCATGCTGGTATCTACTTTGACCCAGCAATGTTAATGAGCTTAATTTTTTTAATATCAATCAGGTCGATCAAGATTAACTAGTCTAAGATTGGTTGATATATCAAGATTAACTGGTTGATATTAAATAGGTTGGTTTGTTGATATTAACCAGGGTGGTTGTTTGATATTGACTAGATTGGTTGATATTAACAAGCATGGTTAGTTAATATTTCCCAGGTTGGTTTGTTGATATTAACCATTGTGATTTGTTGATACTAACTAGACCGGTTGATATTAACCAGGTTGGTTTGTTGATATTAACTAAACCAGTTGATATTAACCAGGTAGGTTTGTTAATTTTAACTAGACTGGTTGATGTCAACCAGGTTGGTTTGTTGATATTAACTAGACCGGTTGATATTAACCAGCTTGGCTTGTTGATATTAACTAGACTGGTTGTTATTAACCAGGTTGGTTTATTGATATTAACTACACCGGTTGATATTAACCAGGTTGGTTTGTTGATATTAACTAGACTGGTTGATATTAACCAGGTTGGTTTGTTGATATTAACTAAACCAGTTGATACTAACCAGTTTGGTTTGTTGATATTAACTAAACTGCTTGATATTAACCAGTTTGGTTTGTTGATATTAACTAGACTGGTTGATATTAACCAGGTTGGGCTGCACATCCTGCCTGCGGACGGGAACCCGCACAAGGCGATGGCTCTGATCGCTCACCCGACTGGCGTGGCGAACCTGGCATGCTCGTACGATGGGAAATACGTCTTCACAGCCGGCGGGGATGACTGCACGACGCACATGTGGAGCGTCAGCCTCAAGTAAGCATTGGACTGTCTACATTGTATCCTGTGAAATGCTAGCCTGTGTTATGCAATTTCTCACCGTCGGGATGATTGGGCCTCAAAGCCTGTGTTAAACTTAAACCATCTCTCAACAGAGTTGATATATCTAGCCTGGGTACCATCCGATTTGTAAGGGCAGCCCTGAAAAAATTGCCAAATGAATGAGTGCATGAATGAATGAGTGAATAAGTGAATGAAGGGATATTAAGTAAATGAATGAGTGAATGAATGAATGAATGAATGAATGAATGAATGAATGAATAATGAATGAATGAATGAATGAATGAATGAATGAATGAATGAGAGTAAATAAGAATGAATAAGTAAATGATTGAGTGAATAAAGGAGTGAGTGAGTGAATGAATGATCAAACGAATGAATGAACAAATGAACAAACAAATTGCAAGACTAAAAGCCAGCTGTTTCAAACAAATGAATGAATGAATGAACGAACAAACGAACCAACGAATGAACCAACGAACCAACGAAAGGCTAAGAACAATCTGTTTCCTCCGCAGGTCCCTTGACGCGGCGTGCAGCCTGGGCGGCGAGAACCTGATCCCGTTCTACGGCCTGCTGGACGGCGGACGGGAGGGCGAGTTCTTCCGCGAACTCGAGGACTACTTCTACTACGCACAGATCAGGAGGTAGAAACTTTATGCAGTCACACCTGTACAAGTGACCACCTATCAGGTCAAATGAGAACTGCAGCATTCATGTTAACTTCTGTATACATGTATTTTACACAATGTCATGTATTTTTGTGGCCCCTGATTTTACTCTGTGCCATGCGTCATGTTCAATGATTGGGTGTAGGATGGCAAGAAGCTATCATGGCTCCAGCCCTTTGTTATGCCTGTTCTGAATGAATGAATGAATTTTGAACTTTTAATGATACCACTGCATTGAAAGATGGAATAACTTAGGAGGAAAAGGACTGTTTTCAACTGTTCAGGGCAAAATATGAGCATTTTGCAGTTGATTCTGAATTTTTTTTTTTTTTTTGCAAATTAGAAAAAAATGAAAACCAAGGAATTAAATTGGGGTGGCCTTGGCCAATTGATAAAAAACCATCTGTACCCCCATGCAGCCAAGGCGTGGACGCCACGGTGGACCGGGAAGTGTCGACGACCGTTCCGCTGTCGGAGGTTCCGTACGTCATGAGGGCGCTCGGCTTCTACCCGACGGAACAAGAGGTCAGGGGTCACTTCATTACGCAATCTGTTTCCAAGGGGGAGGGGGGTGGGGCGATGACATTGCTGTGAGGGATTTATTTTTGTGTGTGCACTTTTTTGTTGACCTGTTTTTCAGCATTTTTTTCTAAATTACAGAATATTATGATGTAATAATAATGTTATTTTACCTGAATGTCTACACTCATAATTTTTTTACCTGTTTGGAGACTATCTATTTATTTACCTACATGTACATGCAGATGTTTTTTTACTGAGTTAGAGACAAGGTTGTTTATTGTTTACATTGCATGATTTGTCTGTTACATACTTAATTTTTATTTTTTGACAGCCATGTTTGTTTATTTGTTTGTTTAAAGACATGTTTTAACTGTTTACAGGCTTATTTGTTTGTTGACAGCTATGTTTGTTTATTTGTTTACAGATCGACGACATGCTGAATGAAGTGAAGTTCAGTAAATACGTGGAGACGGGACAGTATGTCACGCACATCGACCTCGGAGACTTCATCAAATGTAAGTTATAACTGAGTGCCTGAGTAAATGAGTGCCAAAAGAATGAAGAGTTAAGTAACAGAATTCCTCTTTGGCTTGCCTGCTATATTTCTGTGTGTGTGTGTCTGTGCATTGGTGTGTTTGTAGTGAATCTGTACAGTACTTACACACACACACACAAACCTACACATAGTACATAGTTACACATGTTGTCCTTGGTGCTGAATGGCTTTCCACTGGTTTTAAAAAACTTCAAGCATTTTGGGCTTGCCTGTTTGTGTGTGTCTGTGTGTGTGTGTGTGTGTGTGTACAAAAAACACTGCCTACATTCACTAAAAATTCATTGTTTCATCTATTCATTCAGCATCCATATGAGCACATGTTGTTGTTGTTGTTGTTGTGTTGTTGTTTACCTGTTGAAGTTTGTGTTGCCTGTTTGTTTACCTGTTGACTGTTTGTGTTGCAGTGTACATCAACCACCGCCCTGCGTTCGGCCTATCCCCTCTCGACCTGCAGAAGGCTTTCGAAATCCTGGGGATCGACTCAGTGGATGGACCTGCTATCGACCGGGGCAGTCTACTGGATCTTCTGCAGAGCAAAGGTCTGTTTGTTTGTTTGTTTGTTTGTTTGTTTGTTTGTTTGTTTGTTTGTGGGGATTGACTCAGTGGACGGGGCAGTCTACTGGACTAATGCTCCAGAGCAAAGGTTTGTTTGTTTGTTTGTTTGTTTGTTAAGCCACTTATGTGTTGCCATAATGTTTTGTCATGTCTTGTGAGCAGGGCAAGCCCTTTAGACACTGCCGTGGCTGTGAGGGTTGAACAGCCAAACCATATAAACATCCCTCTTCTTTGCCCCCAGGAGAGCATATGACAGAGGCTGAGCTTGCAGAGTTCCTGACCACGCTGATCGGGATGAACCCAGAAGGGGGCAGCTCCGAGCTCGGACCGTACCACTCCGACGGGGGGGCCACCGTGCTCGAGGACGCCCTCCCCGCCGACTTCACCGCAGCCTCCTTCGCGGCCGACGTTCTCGGGTTTCAGCTGTACGCGACCCCGACCGCACGACCTGCGACCGCCAGCACGGCCAGCAACACTGCGGATGACCTCTGAACTTTTCACCTCTGACCTATGAACCCATTTCAACTGCTTATATCTTTGGCTGAACCAAGGAAATAGTTGTTCAGATGAATTCTAGAACATGCCGATCAACCTCTGACCTATTAACATCCGACCTTTGAACCCATTATTTCAACTGCAACACCGCAGATGACCTGACCTATCAACCTCTGACCTATGAACCCATTATTTCAACTGCTTTATATATCCTTGGCTGAACCAATTTATTTCATTGGTTATGAGTACGATGAATTCTACTAGTCACTGCAGTTTTAAACCTAATTTGTATTTCAAAGATGAAAATTTTGCCAATTCAGCACTAGAAAATCAAGACTGTAAATACTTTTGTTTTTAGATTAAAATATGAATACAAAACCACTAAAAAAACATATGGCTACAATGTATATTATTACAAATAGTTGTAATGGCCAAACTTGTTTCGGGACACAGTTCTATCACAGTCTACCACTTACTAATAGTCTAGATGGAATTTCTGAAACCTGATGTATTCTATAGTATTATACTGTACTGAATTCTTGTTACAAGAGATTAATCTCTAGTCATTCAATGGTTGTGTTATGTATATATGTGGTTGATATTTTTGCACAGTTTGTTTGGGGTATACTGATATGATGAGTGTAAATATCTTAATCATGAAGTCTTACATTGTACAGAAGAGTTTGGTGCACTAAAAAGTGAATAAATCTGTGTGTGCTGCATGCTTGTTTGTTCGTTCATTCATTCATTCTCAAAATTGTCCCTTCATCTGTAAATAATTTCATCAGGTTGGTAAACGAATGAATTTATTTTTTTATTAGCAAAGTTCTTTGATCACAACCATTTATTTTTCACGAGCCGACTTTTCGATGACCATCTGTCATCTTCATCAGGGCAATTCTGACTGGTTTACTGTGCACTGACACTAGATGTTACTTGGTGCATACTACATGTATGTAACACCTTTAGTGCACTATGCACCAAGTAACATCTAGTGTCAGTGCACAGTAAACCAGTCAGAATTACCCTGATGAAGATGACAGACGGTCATCAAAACGTCGGCTCGTAAAAAAATAAATGGTTGTGATCAAAGAACTTTGCTATTCATTGTCCCCTCATCATTTGCATGATTGACATGCTCTGATTATATAGCATAGTCATTGATCTGCAAGTCACAAATGGTATTTCTGCAACACAGATCTAATGTCAACATCTGAGTATCTACAGAAAAAAAATTGGACGGTGCATGAATTGTATTTTTCAAGTTTTTATTGTCATTATTATTTATGGCAACAAAGAAGAATAAGACAAAATTTTATTGCACAAAATATCATTTTTTTACATTCTCTGTATTGCAACAAGCTAAGTTACATGTACCTTTTTCATAGTGTTCAGTATCTTATGGTCATATTTCAGAAATGTTCCATTCATTGATTTACACAATCATTTGTTTAATATCAAAATTTCACACATTCTGCTTCACAATTTGTGCAAAGTATCAATGGACCTAACATATAATACCATTATTACGTCACAGTTTGTTTACCTGTTCTAAAGAACATTCTAGAACGGTCAGTAAGTTAAAGAATAAAGATCATTTCAAAGTTTTCAAAGTAAGGTATGTCTGATTTTTGCTGCATCTAGTTTTGTTGACACAGCATTACATACCGTAATGGGTGATTTAGTTGTGACAGTAGATGAAAGTAGTACTGTATAAAGGCCTTATATTAAGGCAAACACACATGCTACGCACCACTGTACAATATAAACATTAATTGCAGTAAACAAACTGTGACGTAATAATGTTATAGGTCCATTGAGAGTATTGATTTTGAGTTTGTTTTTGTTGAAAAATAATGTATTTTCAAAGCTATGTTGATTGTGGTCGTGTCACAAGTCTCAGTGGGGACACCTGTCGTGCAGCGATGGCACTGCAGTCTGCCTTGTACCGCTCCCATGCATGCTGCTCGTGTAGAACTCGCATGATGTCGTCATCTGTGGGGGGCGGACGAAGCTGCAGGGATGAAAAATATGGTTCAAAATTAATCATTTTAGAATGATGAGTAAGTCTTTTATGTAGCCAATGTTTTGGTGACCGTCTGTCACCTTCCTCAGTGCAATTCTGACTGGTTCACATTGCACAGAAGCAAACAGACAGACGGTCACCAAAACATCAGCTGAATAAAAGACTTGGTTGTGTAAAAAGAGTCTCTTTACTCTGTCTTACCAGCCTGATGAAACTATTCACGGAGTTTAGGTTGTTAAGTTTGCACCTGTATCATTCTGTATCTGTATTCAATTTGGTATAACCGCCCTTCTTCGGCGTAACGCACCAGCTTTGCAGGCACGCAGCGCAGCGGCAGCTGGCTATATATTACACAAAAAAACCACTGATGTTCTATGATGTAGTCATAGCTATGTAGCTATGAAAGCTATGTAGTCCTATATGGACTCAAGTCTTTGCTGTTGAACTGTTATAATTACATGTTACACCCTCCCTGGCTTAGTGCCATTGGTGCCATTTGATCGCGTTTGAACATGTCTGGTGTATATTCATTTGATTGAATGCCCTCGGACATGTTTTGGTGCGAGCTCGATCAAATGTGTCCAAACAGGCTTCGTGCACGTACGTTAAAACTTTTCCACCTTTGCTTACAGTCATTTGCAACCTCAAAAACACAACATACTAGCCTGGTATCCAGTCTGATCGTGGTCGGGGCCGCAAGAGCTCTGTCCCGCCCGCCTCACATACTTCCCGGTGTGTATTTCACAAGAGATTGATTAGCCCTCAACAAATGTTCGTGTTGGTTGGAAACCAAATCCCCGAGCATACTGTCTCTTATTAGTGTAACACACCTACCTGGACGGTCTGTTGCACTGGGCGGGGGAAGCTTTTAGAGCCCCCGAAGGCACAACCTGCCTGAACACCCCAACACCCCCAATCACGTAAGACTGGATACCAGGCAAATAGTATACATATAGAATACAACATGGGGTATTCCGTATCGCCCAAGGTATCGACCCGACTGCGATGCGGTATACACCGTGTTGTATTTCACTTATGTCATACCCACCCAAGAAAACACGCCTTTCAATGAGCCAGAATGTGGTGTCACTAAACCCTAAAATGCAACAACATCAGTTCCAACATTCGGATTCTGTATTCGAATTTTCGAAAGCGGCGCACGCGGTTAGGGCAAAATGCATTGAATTTCGAATCGCTCTATGGAAGCCATGGAGCCCGGGCTGTACCGTAAAGTACGGCCCGGTCCAGAACCCGTTATCGAACGTTATCGCAGCCCGGATATGATATAAATAAAATTTAATGTATCCATAACCTACTGTTATTCTGAGCCTCCTTTTGAGCTCCTCTGTCACGTGATCGCGGAAGAACGCCTTGGCGATGACGACACACTCACAGCCGTCAGACACGAGGCTGAAGCCTGACGTCTCCTCATGCATGATGCTGGTCAGGCCCTGGTAACAACAACAAGGTTTATCAATACATTTGTACACTAAAAGTGGACTTGGTTATTAATCATACATATTTTGCGAAATTCCTTGTTTCGCATGTTTCCTTGGCTAGTAGTATATATGAATTCTTTGAAATCCGACTTATTCTTCCTAGTGTTGAAAGGTAATTGTATTCCGTAAGTTCTTACATTCCACAGAATTCGTATGTTTTCTACTACTGAATAGTGTATATTCCATAAAACTCATACATGTATATATATCAGGGCTCAAAATACTGGGTGCATGTGCACCTTTAAGTTAGTGCACCCAACTTTGGAGCTGTGCACCCAATTTTTTGCGTAGGTTTATGAAATTATGTATGTAAAGATGTGGTAATGCATTAAAGCATAATCTTAACATGGGTCAGAAAAGTAATAAAATTATTCTTGTACTACTTTTCTTAGAAATGAAACATGATTTAGTTTTGCTGACATTCAACTTATTCTATCCTATATGGTGCACCCAAAAATTTTTTTGTGCACCCAATTTTTTAGGTTGGGTGCACCTGGAGTACACCTATTCCCAAAAATGAATTTCGAGCTCTGTATACTAGTATATATAGGAACATCCAGTACAGTCATGAGTCAGTTAAAGACGAAAATGAATAATTACGAAGATGTCCTTCTCTCCCAGGGTCTGGATGTGGAGGAACAAAGCATCATGGTCCTCCTCCTCCTCCTCCTGGCTCCTCCTCCTGTTGCTATGGAAACGATCAGTCTCCTCCTGGATCAGGTTTCTATGGGAATGGACCGCCTCATCTGTGGGAGGGGGGGGGGAATTATCAATGTGAAGAACTTGTACGGCTTGTTTTTAACATATAATATATATTGGTAAGAGGTTTTCCAGTTGGAAAGCACAAAACAACATGCTACAAACCAACATATTTATCCAAAAATTATTTATCTGTATAGCCGGTATAACCGCCCTTCAGCGTAACACACCAGCTTCTGTATCTGTATAGCCGGTATAACCGCCCTTCGGCGTAACACACCAGCTTCTGTATCTGTATAGCTGGTATAACCGCCCTTCGGCGTAACACACCAGCTTCTGTATCATTCTGTATAGCCAGTATAACCGCCTTTCGGCGTAACACACCAGCTTCTGTATCATTCTGTATAGCCAGTATAACCGCCTTTCGGCGTAACACACCAGTTTCTGTATCTGTATAGCCGGTATAACCGCCTTTCGGCGTAACACACCAGCTTCTGTATCTGTATAGCCGGTATAACCGCCTTTCAGTGTAACATACCAGCTTCGCAGGCACGCGGCGTGGCGGCAGCTGGCTATATTACACCAATCGACTTGTTACACCTAACCCTTGGACTTCTAACTCTAGACATTGTTTAAAGCTATCTAATGACAATTGCCCCTACTGTACTCGCATGGTGACAGCGAGTTCCACTCTGCGATGGTTCTGAGGAAAGAATGAATTCTTGAGCACCTCAACCCTTGGTTGATAACTCTGGTACTTGAAGGCATGGCTATTTCTTGTTCTCTTCTGGGCTGGTATTAGGTACTTACTAGTTGGGACGTCCACCAGTTTATTAGTCATTTTGTACATCATGCATAGTCTGGACATTTTTCCTCTGTTACCTTTCTAGTTTCTTAACATTTTACTCACCAGTAACAGTGATCCCTGGAGTTGACGCCTGCCCTTTGTGATACGACTGCCGGATCCGGTGCTGCCACCCCCTCCGGCCAGCAGTGGCGCGACCCATCTCGGTCACAAACGCCCTGCAGTCAGTCGGGGCGGTTTTGGGCGGAGCGGTTTTGGGCGGCGTGAGATGTGATGAGGCTTGGCAGTGATGAGGCACCGTGGACGGACGGCGATACAGCGGACCTTAGAGGTGAGTTATAAACACAGTTACTCGATGATGTCACTCGCGCCATTTTGGAGTACAGTGTATAGTTATGTTATACACACCAACATGGCTGCTGCTGTAATCTACTTTACTCTTAGAAGCAACAGAACAAGCTTCTACAGTAACCGTCTTATAATATCAGAGATGTCGGGTTACCTTCGTGATTCCTGAGCGCGTTCCTCGCTGCAGTACTGGGGATAGAAGGTAGGGGGCGAGAGGAGCCCGCCCAGAGGCTGGACTGTCTTGTGCCCCTGTTCAGTAAGGTCTTCTTCAGAACCTTACATTTACCCTGGGAATGAGAGAGAGAGGAAAGTTCACCCTGGGTCTTCATCATCATCATGCCCTATCTCTCATAGCGGACACTAGTGCAGGATCTGCGAGACCAGTGTCTCTCTCTAACATGGACAAAAGTGTAGTATAAGGCTGTCCCACTCTACATCTCCCAGTGGGAAGCCACTGTACTAGTCTACCAGCTGGTTCGTTACTACGAACAACATGCCCTTCCAGGGGGAGCCTACATCGTCGCACTACAGACGAAATGGGTACTAGAGTGAAACTTCTCAAATATTGCGCAATGTGATGCTCAGGAAGAATACCTGATTTTATGAAGTACATCAGACATATTTAACTACCAATTTCGTGACGCAAACCCATGGAGTAAACCTTACCCGATTTAATGATGCAAACCTACCGACTTGATGACGTAGACCCACTCGGACTCGCTACTGTCTGGACACATCACTTGGCCTTTCCTGTGTGCAAAGATATGAATTTCAAAGTACAATATCATTAAATTCTTTTTTCCACAGTTGTAACTCTTAAAGGAAGGAAGGCCTTTGGTTTGTAACGTTACATCAATTAGTAATGCATGACTGTATGAATCCACATCACTTCGAACGCGATATTTTAACCCTTGTTCTGCAGAGCCCATATAAATATAGAATTATATGGGTTGCATAATATAGTAACTGTACCATTTATATAGCGCCCTGACATATAACTATATGTATGATTTGGTATTTCTCGTCTGATGCATTGCAACGTAGCTAAACGCAATGAAGTAACTACACTACTGCATAGTAAAAAAAAAGGCAAAGGTCTATGACCTGATTAAGAGATCAAATTAGTTGAAAATATTGTGTAAGAAATGCTAGCAGGACAAGGGTGTAATAAGCTTGAGCTCGTGCCCACCTGAAGTGCTTGTAGTACCAGACGCTGTGGTCTCCGTGTGGCAGCGCCCCCATGGGCCAGTCCCGCAAACTGTACACAGAGCGCAGAAACGTGATGTGGCTCGGTTCATGGTCACTCTTCTTATCCATCACGGACTCAATAAACTTCTGCACAGGGGAAACAAGAAACCAGTCTTTTGAATGAATGAAGGAATGAATAACTGTCGTGAATGAATGAATGAGTACACGGAGCGCACGGTCTGACTTCTAATGTCCATCACGGATTCAATAAGTTACTTTTGCGCAGGCAAAAAACAAGAAATGTGTGAGTGAGTGAGTGAGTGAGTGAGTGAGTGAGTGAGTGAGTGAGTGAGTGAGTGTGTGTGTGTGTGTGTGTGTGTGTGTGAGTGAGTGTTTGGGTGAGTGAGTGAAAGAGTGAGTGAGTGAATGAATGAATGAATGAATGAATGGATACATGAATGGATACATGAATGAATGAGTAAGCTCCATCCTGCAAGTTAAAAGTTATTGAATCACTCTTGCTTGGATTTAAAAAAGACAGGCACACCACCCCTCTACACTGCCATAAGGTAACAATGAACCACCCCTAACCCCCTCGCCACTAGCAATGGAAAATAAAACAATGAACTGCCCCTTACCTCTTTCTCCATTGCTGTGAGGTAACTATAAACCACCCCTAACCCCTCTCCACTGCTATGGGTAAATTAAACAATGAACTGCCCCTTACCTCCTTCTCCACTGCTAGGAGGTAAACTCTCTCGCTGCAGACGATTGTCTGGTTGTGCGGCCCCCCTTGCAAAATGGCATGGTCCTGTAACCATTGAAATGAGGGAACTTGATTTTAGAGACTGACACCAAGACTACATCGAACTTATGTTTGCATTCATCTCTGATGAGAAAAATGATAAGTTTGTTATTTCAAGTTTAAGTTTGCAAGAGACATTGACGCTTTATGACCACTGGAGTCTTCACCAGACTCCTTTACAGGCTGTATAAATAGTAGAAATCGGCCTAAAAAGGATTCAATCCATGCAGGCAAATTGGCTGGCCTACCCTTTTAAAGCAAATTTCTATTCATTCAGCCTGCAAAGGACTGGTGGATACTACACTGGGCTATACACATCACCGTATTCTTGCACTTTCTTGAAGTTGTTGTCCTTTTTTGATGTCTAATATGATGACTAGACGTGGTCTCTTGGTGCTGGTTTGCGCATGGTTTAGTTCAGAGTCAAATTATCTCTCGAACCGACTTTGGATTTATAATGCATGTAACTGTATTCTCAGATACTTTTAATTTACTTATGTCATGTCCTGAACCAATATCCTTATATATAGGCCAATTCATATCTTCCGCTCTCCAGAAAAGAAACCATTCATCTCTGACACTTCGAATGGATGTTAAATTATATAATACTGTATCCATGTTCCATATATATTGTATAACTCATAGTACACAATTACAGCGTAGCGTCTAGAGTTAGTCATTTAGAAGTAGATTTTAGTATTGTAACGGTTATTCTTGTCTATACTTGCCATACAGTGTACCTGTTGCAATTGTTGCGCAATAAAGATTGATTGATTGATTGTATTTTTGCACTTTCTTTTAAGAAACTCACTCCGAAGTAGCTTCCTGCCTTGAGAAAGCCCATGGTCCGTACGTAAGGCTTCCCGGTCACGAGGTCCGTCTCTACCCGAGTGGACGTCGCCTTGCCGTTCAGGATGAAGTACACCGACGTCGGGTCGTGACCCTCTCGCACGATCACTCTGTTGGCCTCAAAACTGGGAGGGGGCAACACGGAAATTTTTTTTATGATATTATTTTTGGTGTATATATTGTAACACACAGTTGTATTTCCGTGTATATATGTGCCGTACCCAGGGCCACTCTGTAAAGCAGTGCTATGTCACTGAGTAATGCCACCCTGGTTAAAGAATACAGAAATACATGAATAAATAAAATTTAGAGGTCAATGACAAAAATTGACCTCTTGATATTTTCATAAGGTTATGTAAAGCCGGTAAATAAGAAAAAAAGTAAAAAGTGCAAAGAAATAAGTCTAATTATCAAAATGTAATTTTAAGTTTTATAGGTATATACAACTTTTAGCAAGTGTCCGAACAAAAATCGGTAAAACATATATAACTGCTTGCTTGTATGTTATGTTACAACTCAATTCAGTTAAACAGACATAACTGCTTCTTTGTGACAACTGGAAACTGTTTTAAGGGTATTTTTAAGGGTGCGTGTAAATAAACCATTATCTCTCTAAAGTACCTAATACCAGCCCAGAAGAGAACAAGAAATAGCCATGCATTCAAGTACCAGAGTTATCAACCAAGGATTGAGGTGTTCAAGATTTCATTCTTTCCTAGAACTATCGCAGAGTGGAACTCACTGTCACCAAGTACAGTAGGGGCAATGTCAATAGATAGCTTTAAACAATGTCTAGAGCTAGAAGTTCAAGGTGTAACAAGTCGATCGGTGTAATATAGCCAGCTGCCGCCGCGCCGCGTGCCTGCGAAGCTGGTGTGTTACGCCGAAAGGCGGTTATACCGGCTATACAGATACAGATACAGAATGTAGTCCCATAGCCTTTTGAGGGGGAATATATGCTTCGACAGGAAGATGTGGTGAAGACGTTTGTTAAGATGTTTGTTCTCTCACCTGTCATACCAGCCCACCTTGACCAGCTGTTCGCGCATGTGCACTGGGAGCTGGGCAAAGGCCTCTGACGCCACACACAGGGCACGCATAGCCTGTCGGGAGGGAAAATATCACAAACAAATTTCAAGATGCTATCATGAAAGTTCATCTGTGTTGGTAGTTAAGGTTATATGTTTAAAGAAAGGTAAAACTTTTGATCCAACACAACAAAGTTTTCTCACCTTAGCAGAGCTTTCGACCAGACACTGAGGAAGACCAGAGTGACTGGTCAAAAGCTCTAGGTGAGAGAACTTCGTTGTGTTGGATCAAAAGTTTTTACTTTAAACAAATTTTAAGAGGGTAGTAAATTGTATTATGAATGTTATGTATATTGTGTCCTCACAACTAAATGTGTATGATATAATGGACTGTCACAAATGGATTTCTTTTAAACAATAATAAGATGCAACGTTCAACTTTTCATTGAGAATCAGAGTTTCGATAATTCTACCAGACAGTTCGGACTCAAGTTGTTTTACACATCATACGACTGGTTTTAACAAACTTTTAAAGGTGTTCATGTACTCGTATTCAAAGGCCCTGCTGACAAAAAGAATGTTCATGGTCAAAAATCTGATGTCTGACCTTGGATATCTGCTCGGGTCTCCTGTAGGCCGGGTTGGTCTTCAGGGTGTCCTGCACGTCCTGAGGAAGCTCCAACTGTGGAAGACAAAGTTACTCATTGGTCAATAGGCCGAACACGTCGAACCCCCTGTTCTATTGTCGAACACGTTTGTCAAAATCGAACACTCTAGATCTGGCGTTCGAAATAGAACAGGGGGCGGGGCTTATGATGTTTGGCTCGAACTGGTCTATGGTAATTTACAAGTCACTCACTGTTTTACTCATCATTCACTCATGTAACAGTTACGGGCAAATCGCCTTTGGGCGTAACACACTGGTTTTGAACAGTTGGTACCAGCTGCCATCGAAGATGACGTCCCCTACCAAAGCTTGGTTAAACGTTACTCATTTTCATCATAGTTGAGTGAGGAATAGGTTCCTTTCCTTAGCTAAGGGCACGATGTTAGGCTTAATAAGGATTTGTTTCTTTTGCTAATTGGCTTTTAATGTATGAATGAGTGCGTGCGTACGTGCGTGTGTCTGTGCGTGAGTGAGTGAGTGAGTGAGTGAGTGAGTGAGTGAGTGAGTGACTCAATGAGTGACTGTGTGGAATGATTCATTCATTCATTCATTCATTCATTCATTCATTCATTCATTTACAATCAAAGTAGCAGCAGTATCTACCACAGGGTTGGCCTTGAAGACGCTGGGGTCAAAGGACAGGTCCGGTCGGCCATGTTCACCTTGAGCCGGGCCGGTGACCTTGGCGTTCAGCGCGATCTCGGCTTGCAGCTGCGCAAAGGACTTCAGCCGGTTGCTCATCCTCTCAACCAGCTCTTTACGTCTGTAACGGAACGAAGTGGTTTTTGAAACGAGGGGAATTCTGAGTTTTGAAAAGACGAATTAAACTAGACTATTAGTACAATCTCCTGTGTTGGACATTACAGTTCAAACCTACGTGAAGAGTTTTGAAACGAGCATTGGGCAAAAGACGACTAACTGAGGCATTTCAAACATTTAGTACTTACGCTCTGGTCGCCACCAGCACGAGTTGCACCGCACGAACGGCCTTCCGCCACCGCCTCCGAATCTGAACAATCACAATCCCATTAATACAGTAAGTCTATTCTGAGAAACTATTACTACAGGAATATGAACGTAAACGGCATAAGACATGATGTACATAAGCTAAGCATGATCATCAGTTTAAGTCATGAGGACTAGGAATGTACAGACCTCCTCAGGGTTGCGTATCCCCGAGGTGACGTTGAGTCGGACACTGGACGCTCGGCTGGACATCAGAGACTGCCGCCTCCTTCTGTTGACAAAAGTTTTCTTATTTATTGCAACATTTGTTGACAAAACATAGTGACAGCACACTCAAGTTTTAGACTTATATTGATAGAGAAGATAAATCGAATCAGAGATTTTTTCGTGTTTTAACTCCAGACTCCAGGAAAAAAAGCCCCAGCCGTCGGAAAGATCAATTGTAAAAGACACAGAACTGTTTACAAACAGTACAGTAGAAAATATGGTTCAGGATCGTCGGCCGGGTAGAGACTAGGGGGAAAGAGCGCTCGGTCGGACGTAATAGTATACCTTACAGACAGTCTCTGGAGCTTCAAGATAGTCACTCCGGTGTTGCTCCAGAGCAGCTTTGCATAACGATCAGGGAAAAGAGAGACAGAAAAAAGGAGAGAGATAGAGAGGGGGTGAAAGAGAGAAGGAGAGTGAAACAGAGAGAGACAGAGAGAGAGAGATAGAGAGGGGACGTACCTCAGCGACAATCTCCGGAGTTTCAGCATCGTCTCCTCGGGAGTTTTTCCGGAGCAGCTTAGGCTAACGATCAGAGAAGAGAGAGAGAGAAAGAAAGAAAGAAAGAAAGAATGAGAGAGAGAGAGAGATAGAGAGAGGACGTACCTCAGCAACAATCTCCGAAGCTTCAACATCGTCTCCTCAGGAGTTTTTCCGGAGAGAGAGAGAGAGAAAGAAAGAGAGGGAGAAAAATGAGAGAAAGGGAGGGAGAGAGAGAGAGGGTGAGAGGACGTACCTCAACGACAGTCTCCGGAGTTTCAACATCGTCTCCTCGGGAGTGACTCCGAAATCTTTCCGGAGAGAGAGAAAAAAAAAGAAAGAAATGGAGAAAGAGAGACGGGAGAGAGAGGGGGGAGAGAGAGGACGTACCTCAGCTACAATCTCCGGAGTTTCAACATCGTCTCTTCTGGAGTGACTCCGGAGTTTTTCCGGAGCAGCTTAGCATAATCATAAGGGAAAAGATTGAGAGAGGAAAAGAGAGGGAGAGAGAGAGAGGGAAGGACAGAAAGGGGGAGAAAGAGAGGGAGGGAGCAAGGGAGGGGAGACAGAGAAAGGACGTACCTCAACGACAGTCTCCGTAGTTTCAACATCGTTTCCTCAGGAGTGACTCCGGAGTTTTTCCGCAGCAGCCTCGCCTCCTGGCCGCCGGACTCCAGCTTCAGCCCGGCGGCCCACGTCAGGCTCTTCTTTAGCATGTCGCTCTCTTCTTCCGCCGATCCGTTCACAGAATTCAGCAGGAGCCGGATGAGGGTCTGCCGGCGTCGCGCCTCACTCCGTTTCCTACCGGGGGCTTCCTCCGGGTCCTCTTCGGACAGGGGAGAGGGGAGGGGCGAGGGCACGGCGAGCAGGCCTCGGTACGGGCTCGGCGACTCTGGAAAGAAAAAGTAGCTATAGGTTTTGGTCTTACAACGCTCCTAGGTAAAGAAAAAAAAAACATTTTGAAGTTATTTTGAACAAGATTGAACTGTAATTGCCAACTCAAAACCTTTGTTGTTTGTTTTTGGTTACATGTACGTGCAACAGGTTGTTCAGTGTGTTTAAATATATCCAGATTTTTTGCGCCGAAGGTTAGTCTAAAGATACGTTTGTCTTTGTTAGTTATACAGGCTATATAGATACAGGTGCCTACCCGTCAGTTGAATTGACAGGAGACTCCAACAACATAGATATAAATACGTTTGTTTTTGTTGGTTATACATGTACAAGGAATACAGAATACTAGTACATTTTTGTCACATTGGCTATTCAGATACGCGGTTTCTACTGTAAAAGTAATAACAAAGTTCACCTTTATTTGAACAAGACCACACTCTGTTTACAAAACATAGACCAGGCAAGTTATGTGGCAAACTATTGAACTCCTTTAGGAAATATAAAAAAAAAATTGGGTAGAACTAGAAAGGGCGTCGGGTGGTGTAGTGGTTAGAGCAATCGACTGTGAACCGGGAGACCCGGGTTCGATTCCGAGTCGTACCCGGGACATGTCTGAACATGCGCCCCGACGTTGTGCCCTTGGGAAAGGCACTTTACACGAATTTCCTCACTCCACTCAGGTGTGAATGTGTACCTAACTTCGGTTGGGGAAAGTCGTATCGAGGTCACCTGGTGGCGCCGAATGGCAGCCGCACAGACCCTTGCGACAGTTCCACAAAAATAATTGTGGAACAAATATGTGTATTATTTGTATTATTTGATTGTTGTAATTGTTATGATTTGTATTGATTATTATGTGATACCCTGTACCAATTCAGCCGTATAAAGGCTGCGACTGCACGGGTACTGTTTGGACAATAAAAAAAAACCATTTATTATAAAGAAAGACCCACAAGAGCACTGACTAACATCTACATGTAGCTATAGCCTCCATCAGACTAACAACGCGGACAATGGTTTGCCTGGTTGGTTTGGCTAACATTTACATACAGTTCATTTGCCCGCACATTTCATGTGCAAGTAAGGCCACACCGATTTAATTTTATGGATGACATCCGCGCGCGCATTGATTTTCGCCCGATCTCAAAAAAAAAAGATCACGTATTCCGAGGCTCTGGCCTGGCTTTAGGCCTGGGTAGTGCATGGTGGTGATAACTCTGGTTGACGGCAGCCAGGCTACCGAAGCTCCAATACTCAAGAACTCAGTACATACGTACAGCAGTGTCGATTCATATATTCCGCAAAAATCCAGCATGTGTCGGCCTGTCGTATACGTCGCTATGTAATGCGCCAAATTCATAATACCAGGTTTGTATTCCTGTGGTTTTGTAGCATTTTTATTTTTGGCCGGATTTTTATTTTGTTCGCCCGCGCGCACTAGTTTGGGGGTCTTCAGAGGATGTCATCCATAAAATTAAATCGGTGTGGCCTAAGGGGAAATGTTTCGTTACCCTTATAATACTAGTACCGTGGCTCACTACCCTGACCCTGTTTTTACCATCCATAACCCCTTACATGTACATGTATATGTATATATAGGAAGGCCTGGTGGAGGCTCAATAAAATCCGCGTGGGTTCTAGTGCCTCATTTGCGATCGGCTGTGGGTTGAAAGATAGTTTTCTGAAATTCAATCAATTCGAGTGAAAACATATCTATCCCAAAGCCCGCTTGTGTTAATGTAGAAAGACCTTTATTGTACATTTTTGCTCATTAGGAACTAAGTGCAGGTCACGGTAAATAGCGACGGTAGACAAAAATATATCTATAGTAAAACTACATATGTACAGGTTCTGCTTCTTCTCGCTTCTTAAAAAAGGCAGTTGTAAATGTAAGAACATGGAGCTTATAATACGAGGATTATCGAGTTTCATGAGGAATGCGTGAACGTAACAACTAAAGGCTTCTAAAACCCTTACAAATTTTCCCTCTTGAGTGAGAAAAGAGATCAGAAGTACCTTAGAAAAGCCAACTTGACGAACAGACGTCCCTGTCGCGGCCAGAGTGTACAGTGGTGTCGACATTAATGTGAGAATTTTGCATGAGAACAGTTTGATTATGGGTCAGATCATTAGGCATTGGCTGGTTTTACAGGTTGCGGTCTCGGAAGTACTGTGGCCGGCAGGTACAAATTTCTATATCTCTGATTTAGCTGCTTCATGCGAAGGTTGCATTTCCAACCTAAGGCCCGGTGTTGAGCCAAATCCTTGAGCTGCCACATACGTGAGAGGTCAGGTGTTCAGGGTTAGGGTTAGGTTTGGGGTTGGTATTAGACTTAGGACTAGGCTTAGGGTTAGGGTTGGGATCATTGTTCAGGGCTAGAGTTAGACTTACGATTAGGGTTAGACATGGATTTAGAAGGAGTTAGGTTAGGTTTAGTTTCCCACATCACGACTAAACCCCTCCCAACCCTTGTCTCAGGTATACTGAAAAACTCCAAGTAGTGTCGCAGTCATGTATTTGGCAGGATCATGTATTTGGCTTGACACCGGCCGGGCTTGATCAAAAATAAACAATTCATATCAAGAATATGCACAACATTCAACTTTTGTGAAAAACAAGCAATTTTTTATGTAGGTGTGCTTCTTGCCATTTGTTCCCACAACTGGCCGACCGTAACCCGGACTGTTAATTGTGACTTTTAGCATTAGAAGGGGTGTGTTGCAGCTGAAGGAGGGGTGCAGAACTTGTGCTTGTCGGCCACCGTACAGGAGAGCAACAGGTGGTCTAGAGGTGCAATGACAATCCATATCGCTAGAGGCGCTGTTTTCTTACCGACAGACTCGTTGATTTTAAGGTTGGTCTCCTAGGATACGACACGAAGCTTGCCTGTTACATTATGTACTTTTTATTGACCATTTCTTGGTAAAAAATATCTCATGTGAAATATGTAAATGACATGCGAATATTCCAAGTCTAACTGATAGAATCAAGTTATTCTGAAATCTGTTGGTTTCTTGTAGGAATGATTGAACATTATAACGTAAAATGCCAGTGTTGTTTGAAGCGGAAAGAAAAAAAAACAGAATCCCTGAACAATGCTATAAATAGAAAATCATTGGATACATTATTGAGATTAGTAAAAAAAACGTCTTTTTTTGCTGACAACAAAATTCTAAAACCATTTTTTGTTCATTTTGCATTAGTAAAATAACACATAATTTGTTAACCAGTCTTTCTGTAATAGCATTTCCCCAGGGAGTATCGACAACCAGTAAGCCAGGGCGCCATTTTGATGTTCCACCGTAGCCATGGTAACCAAGTCTCGCGGGAAAGGACGAGAACGCGGACAGACACCTGTTAAACGGACTCCCGACATTGTCTGTTGTATCATAAACTAATGTAAGGAGCGTTTCTTAAACATTCGTGCAGATATAAGGTTTTGGCTTCAGCTATTTTTTTTGACGTCTTTTAAGCGTTTTTTTGACGTCCTTTTTTGGGGGAGGGGTGATTTTACTTTGCACTGGTATCTTTTTAACGCTAGCCGAATGGTTACCATGTAGGGCGGGATTTGGGCAGCCGCTTATCAAATCCTTTAACACGTACTGTTGGTGTGATTGTATACTTGTCTACTGTTTCTGTTGTAGGGGTTTGCCTTGACAATTGCTGTAAATGTGGTTGTATACTTAGTTATTACTTACTGGCTGTGAATAGACTGCGTGTTTGATTTAGATAAGAAATAGTCCAGATTGACTTAGTCTATAGTAGTGGCAAAGAGTATCAAACTTAGATTTAGCAGCAACGCACGAGCTAGGCTTTAGCCTCCGTAGCAGGCTTATAGAACTGGGGGTTTGGTGGTCTTCGGCTGTTTTCTGATTAGCCTCCGTAGCAGGCTTATAGAACTGGGGGTTTGGTGGTCTTCGGCTGTTTTCTGATTAGCCTCCGTAGCAGGCTTATAGAACTGGGGGTTTGGTGGTCTTCGGCTGTTTTCTGATTAGCCTCCGTAGCAGGCTTATAGAACTGGGGGTTTGGTGGTCTTCGGCTGTTTTCTGATTAGCCCAGTTTTAAAAAATGGGGGTAATTCAACCAGGCCGGCTATTTTGTCTAAATGCAATCAGAAAATAGCACATAAAAGCTCCCAAAGACCCTAAAGAAATAAACATAGGTACAGAAATCACAAAAACATAAATCCAAGTCCGAATCAAAAGGTCAGACTGGGAACATCAAATGAAATTAAAGAACTTAATACAATGTAATTGGTCCTGTGGGAATGGTAACATTTTGTACAGCGAAAATCTCGGAGAACGTGCGATAACATTCGCATGTAGATCCGACTTCTGTTCTGATTTAATCGTTTGTGAACGCTTTCCCTCCCATATCTGGATAAGGGAGGTTTGACACTCATACTGTCATAGACAAGTATATCTCTCTTTCTACACACACACACACACACACACACACACACACACACACACACACACACACACACACACACACACACACATGTACACTATCTATCTATCTATCTATCTAAACACTGCTTGTTTATACAATTAGATAAGTGACATGAAGTATCATGACACCATGAAGACTTTTTTGAGATGTCGTTTTAAGAAAGGTCTCTCCGTTCCAGAGATGATCTAGTAAAGAATCGGGAATTTTTTTTTCTTAAAGAAATAAAGGGAAAGAAACAAAGAATCGCAAATCCTTGAAACATATGGAATAATTTTATCTTATCTAATCCTTATCTAGAGGTAAGGAAGAACCGTCTAATGTGTGTACCAACATGTGTATCTTAAAACACGACTTATACACTTACCTCTGTGCGGATGCAGCTTGTTGCAATTGTACGACTTCGGGGCGTACCGGTTAACCACCGAGGCGACCCTTGCGTCTCTGCGGGAAGAACTGCCGTCCATCCCCGCCGGGCCGGCTAGCAGGTCCCGCTCATCCGCTCTCGAGGCCATCCCGTCTGAACTCAACAGTTTTCCCGGCCCTCTTGTTGCTAACCGTTTGGACTACTAGCCTTCACCAGGCCTTCCTACAGGGGTACGGATCCTAGCCTCCACCAGGCCTTCCTACGGGGGTACAGATCCTAGCCTCCACCAGGCCTTCCTACGGGGGTACGGATCCTAGCCTCCACCAGGCCTTCCTACGGGGGTACGGATAGTAGAATTCGGCAAAAAAGGAAACAATTTGGCCAGGAGAGTCAGTCTTCAGTCTGGCTAAAATCCGCTGACCAATTTCTCTTCCTGTTTGGCTAAGTTATACTGTTTCTGAGCCTGCACTTTTAGCCTTGTGGGGAGTACGTTTGAACGTAGATGAATGCCCAACAGTCACTGTGAATGTTGGAACTCCCAAGACTCAAGTACTGTTTTCTTGACGACGATTTTGCTTGGAATACTCCGTCTTGGGCGTCTTGCTGCATTCTCTCAAGGTGTCTTAACTTGCTAAAAGTCTTGAGACGCGAAAACATCCGTGGTGAGACGTCCCAGGTGTGCTGTATGTCCTTGCAAGTGTTTTAGTGCTTCATTTGAAGTGACCGCGCCGCGACCCGGAGAACCTACCTGCGGACGGCGCTTCCTTTGAAGGTGCTACAGGTTAACACCTAGCCTGCCAACAGGTGCACCACAAACAAAATACACGTCCGTTTTGAGTTTGTCTCCGACACCAGCGATCAAGCAAAGTACAGTGTGAGTGTTCAGTCGTCACAAAGTTTCAGGAAGAACTTTCACTGCCACAGGTCCATGCAGATCTCATGTGACCAACAAATTGTTTTCAGTATTCTGATTCCAGTGTCTCCAATCCTTGTATCATTAGTTGTCCACGGGGTATCAGCTATGTTGGTGTACTACCGGCAAACACAACAATTTTTGCGTTGTGTTCTAAGGCTGGTTCACGTATTATCCAAGCAGATATTTTGGTGGCTACAACTTACAAGGCAGTATCAAATCGGCAGGGTTGTATCCAACACGGTTACCACCATTACCTTAGGCTTGCGAAAAAAAGATACTGGCACTGTGAATTCACTTTATGTTCACGGTAGCAAAAGTTCACGGTCTGATAAAAATGGACATGTTCACGGAACTATATATTCACGGTGGCGACAGGTGCAGGAAAAAAATATCTGTTTAACTGTAATGATAAGTTCACGGTACAGAATTGACAGTGAAAACAGTGAACATTACACATTTACAGTACAGTTAAAAAATCAGTGCACAAAAACAAATAAAGTCCGATGAACATGCCTAGAAAAAGCTTCTAGAGTATGGTTCACAGTGACAACGCCAGTTTGCTATGTTCACCTGTACATGTAGCTGTGCCGTTGTAAAAACTGAGTGACGTCTTCAAGAGCGTATCTTGAATATCTTGAGAAGTTCTCAAAGCAGACCTCGTATAAGATCGTGTAACCTCTCCGCGTTAGCGACCCGACGCTGAGAGGGTAGCCTGGGTACCAAACCTTTGGTCGGCTTGGCGGTAATCTTTCGGCCCCGGCCTTTACCAAGCACAGGCGAGTTATACCCACGGACCTATCTCCATCTGGTTTCTCTGTATCCGCTGACTTCCTGTATTACGCTCTATCTTCTTTTGCCGCAGACCCGTTGTCAGCGAAGAAACGTAAAACTTCCCCGAAGCGCGGTCTGGTTGGCGGCCCCAAACGCTGTCGGCGCCGAAGGGATAGCGCTGAGCTCACGGCGGTCTGGTTAACCAGGCTAAGAGTAAGAGGGCGACATTCCAGTGCAGATGGGCGGTAGTCCCGGGTAGAGTCGCCCGGGTACAAAGTTCCCTGTCACCGCGGCTGAGAGCGTGCACTTGTCCCTGGGAAGAGTGGCACTTGTGCTCAGAGTGTGAGCGTTGTTGTGTTCTAGCCTGGGTACCGAACCTTGTGTCGGCTTGGGGGGGGGGGGGGTGTGTGATTATACTAGCCTCTACCAGGCTTCGGGAGGCGGCTGGAAAGAGCAGAAATTTGCCAAATAGAGAGATGACATGGAAAGTACAGTTTACAGATTTCCCTGCCCCGGTCTTTGCTAAGATCAGTACGCACGCGGACCTAGCCTGTCTCCAGCTGGTTTCCCTTTATCTACTGGCTTCCTGTATTTGACTAGTACGCCGACTCTCCGACGTTGTGAGTGAAGATCAAGCAGATCCTATATATATACGGGGTGGCAAAAGACAGGATCAAATTGGCCAGGCAGGATCCATTCTCCAGAGCTGCAAAAAGCGCGGTCATTGGGGCCCGGTTTGGCGGCCCGAAACGCTCCCAGCGCCGAAGGGATAGCGCTGAGCTCACGGCTGGGGTCTGGTTACCCAGGCTAGCGTTGTTGTCCCGGCCTTGGCGACGAAACACGGACGCGATTTAATCCACAGGTCTCTGTTACCGCGTTACGCAGTCATCTTCTCCAAATCACCTCCTTTGTACACCTGCCATTATAGTCAAGACTTAATCCGGTTTTCTTAAGACGAAGGTTGGGGATTAAGGCGTCCTTTCTTCGTTTTCGGGTCAATTCTTCGATCCTTGGTCGTACGTCGCTCTGGTTTTTTGCCCCCACTTCAGTTGCGAAAGATTAGAATCATCGTGTCGCTACTTGACTTGTGTTCGGGCTGGCAAAGGTTCAGAACGTGTCGCGTTATCAACAAAGGCACGTCCATCTAAGTTTCTGTGTGCCGACGCCGACTCTGGTTCTCTCGTTGTTGTTTGTCAATAGTCTAGGAGGAGGTTATCAGAAGAAACTTTGAGAGAAAATGACAAACAAACGTAGAGCCGACTGGTCCAGAAAAATGACAAACGTGTCACGTTGTCAACAAAAGAACGCCCATCGTTTCTGTGTGCCGACGGGGACTCTGGTTCTCTCAGTATCGTTTGTCATACAGTCTAGGACGAAGTTATCTGGTGAAATTTGAAGAAAATACAAAATGACAAACGTAGCACACTGATACTGTACACAGTTCGGCCAGTATCATAAAACCATATCTTGATACGCCAAAAAAGCAGTTTACTCAAGCAACTGGATATGATTTTGGATATCTTGATGTCGCGTCATCATTTTAAGTTGCGACTGCGACGTTGCTACAAAATGTACGTCGCGAGTTTTTCAGGTAAATTCTCCACCTGGGTTACGTAGCAAGCATCACGTAGAGCACACACACAGAGCACACACCGCCCGGCGTTCCACTGTAGATACTAGATAGCAGGCTTATAGAACTGGGGGTTTGGTGGTCTTCGGCTGTTTTCTGATTAGCCCAGTTCTACAAAAAAACGGGGGTAATTCAACCAGGCCGGCTATGTTGTCTATATGCAATCAGCAAATAGCACATAAAAGCCCCCAAAGACCATGAAGACCCCCAAAACCCCCAGTTTTGGGCATGCTATGGAGGCTAGTTCCACCGGCTGCTATCTCCGCCCGTGTATCGATCCGGGCACGTGCCGATGCGGTATAAACGTCGCCCCGTGCAACACTTCGCTTCGGTCCTTGTGCCGCCGGTGCTGGTCACATGCATCCGGTGTAAGGTAAACAGGTAGTATTACGGCAGCAAATCGTTAGCCTCCACCAGGCCTTTCTAAGGGAATACGGATCGTAGAATTCGGCCAAAAAGAGAGTAGAATTGGCCAAGGGAGTCCGGCCTCGGGGAGGTACTTTCTTGCACGGCCAGTCAAACCTACAAGGCGGCCGAACTCCTATATTTATATCCAGCGTAGAGACTAGGTCACATCCGGTGTACCGTGAACAGGTAGTTTTACGGCAGCAAGTTGTGGTAACAGCAGTGGATGTGTTGTAGAAAATTCAACTTGGTAAAATGTTGTAGGTCTTTGTCCTGTCGTAGCCTCAATCAAGGGAACAGGAGTCCTTTTGTGTTTTGATTATAAACCTACAGTGCCTCAATAAAAGCCCATCAAAAGAACAACAAATTGCCCTCTTGGGACAGTATTAAATGTGGGACGTAATTTAGCTAGCTGTCTTTCAAAGGCGTTGTCGGAGCTCCCCTGTATCAGGTTTTTTCTACCGCAGTCTTGCTGAAAGTCCAGCTAGCTACGAAACATTGCGCATACAAGACGACCACGGCACGTGTCTCGGTGCGTGGTTAGATCCTGTTAAACACACTCCACATGGCTGATGACCACTCCAGCTCCGGGCTGTTAACTCTGCCGAATGACCCACAAACACTTGTCGAACTAGAAATCACCGTTCGGTGATCGATGACTGGGATTTGCTAGCCTCCACCAGGCCTTTCTACGGGAATGTGGATCGTAGAATTCGGCAAAAAAGAGAGAGTAAAATTGGCAAAGGGAGTCCGGCCACGGGGAGGTAGTTTCTTTCCATCCTGTGCGGCCAGTCAAACCTACAAGGTGGCCAAACTCCCTTGGCAAATATTCTCCTATATATGGCCAGCGTAGTTAGTCTGGTAGAGACTAGGGATTTGGTGGCGTCCTGAATTCTACTCCTCATGTGTAGACTTAAAAACTTATCCAAGCCGTTGAGCTAAAGACCCAGAAAACGCACTTAAGAAACATATCTTTCAGAACTTAAATAATTCCTAGTTCCTCTTCTAAACATCCGTCAGGACAGGTGAGTCTATAGGGGGGATTCTTCACACCTGCGTTGCCGCAGGTGAAAAATAGGTGTGATAAATAACGCGGACGTTACCTGTACTGACCTGTGGTTTACCTACATGTGCCACACATGTACCTCTGGCACACCTGTTCTTGTATCGGTAGTATACCTATATACCTGTAATACACATGTTCTTACCTGTAGCACACTTGTACTGACCTCTAGTACCCATATACTACACATGCACTTGTCCCGCTGTAGTACACATCTACCTGTATCTATAGTATACACCTATACCGGTAATACTGAACTGTAGTACACCTATAACTATACAAGTAGTACACCTGTTCCTGTATCTGTAGTATACCTATATACCTGTAATACACATGTTCTTACCTGTAGCACACTTGTACTGATCTCTAGTACACCTGTGCCACATATGTACCTGTCCAATAGTACACCTCTACCTGTATCTATTGTATACACCTATACCGGTAATACTGAACTGTAGTACACCTCTACCTGTATAGCAGTACACCTGTACCAG